ATCTCGGTCTGCTCGACTCCGGCACAGTCTGGGGATATGTCGTCGGCGTTATTGCGATTGCCTTCCTCGCCAAGGTGGCAGGAGGCGCTCTAGCCTCGAGACTATGTGGCCTGCTCTGGCGGGAGAGTCTCTCCATTGGCGTTTTGATGAGTTGCAAGGGCCTGGTTGAGCTGATTGTCTTGGTAAGTACTTTCTTGCCTTCGTCCATCGATCGACAACTGACCGCGATAGAACATTGGTCTTCAAGCGCGCATCCTTAGCACCCGCACATTCACAATTTTCGTTGTCATGGCCCTCGTGACAACCTTTGCAACCACCCCTTTGACCAGCCTCTTGTATCCGAAATGGTATCAGATCAAGGTGGAGCGCTGGCGTCGTGGGGAAATCGACTGGAATGGGCATCCGATCCAGCCCGATGGACGTCAGGACAGTGTTGCTGCTGCGAAAGAGCAGCTCGAGACTGCAGCAGTCTGCAAGATGCTCGTTTATCTGCGCCTGGACGGGCTTTCTAGCATTTGTACGTTAGCTGCCCTGTTAGGCCCCAACCGACCCGCCACGCCGGAATCCCCAAAGCTGCACCCGACCAAGGTCAAGGAGGCTCTGGCATCTCCGGAACCAGCAGTGGAAGAGTGCGCCGAGACGGAAGTACAGCCGGAGCCGGCGCTGCAAGTCCATGGTGTCAGGCTGATGGAACTCACCGATCGAGACTCTAGTGTCATGAGGGTCTCCGAGATCGACGAGTACACACTGTGGGATCCAGTCATCAACACCTTCCGGGCTTTCGGCCAATGGCGCGATATTGCGATCGTGGCTGGCGTATCCGTCGTTCCCGAGCATTCCTATGCGGACACCGTCGTGGGGATGGCTCGCGAAGAGTCCGCGGATCTTCTGCTAATCCCATGGAGTGAAACGGGTGGCATGAGCGAGGTCCAAACCGGTCTTGGTATTGACGAGGCCAGCAGATTCGTCAACGGCCCCTACACCGACTTTGTTTCGAGTGTGCTGTCCAATACGACGAGCAATGTGGGCGTCCTCGTCGAGAGGAACATATACAGCCGCAGCTCCGGCAAGCAGCGACCACAACTCACCCGAACAGCCAGCGCGCTCAGCATTCGCAGCTCCATCTGGGGTGGTGCGACTGCCGCCGCGCGATCGCATCATATCGTGTTACCGTTCTTTGGCGGCGATGATGACCGCTTTGCTTTGAAATTCCTTCTTCAACTCGCTCAGAACGACCAGGTCACGGCGACGGTGCTCCACATCGATGTCCTTCCCACCCCTTCAGGAAAATCTGTCGCCAACACCAGAGAGTCCCAAGCGGAGAGCTCGACCAGCCCTTCGACAGTCGCAACAACACCGCCTGAAAGCGACGGCACCTTCTTCGCCTTGATGCGAGACTCACTCCCGGATGAGTTCAAGTCTCGCGTCATCTTCACGCGTCTCACGCCAAAGGCGGATGATAATGTACTTGAATTTACCATCAACGCCGTGAAAGAAGAAATGTCGCAAACAACACCCAAAGCTGGAAACATTGTCGTGGTGGGAAGACGGCATAACGGGCTGGACCAGGCTCTGACATTAGCAGCCGTTTCATCCCCGGACGAGGTCGGACAAGACGCCCGACAGGCCCTTGGTGCTGTTGGGCAGGTCCTGGTCCGGACTGAAAATAGAATCGTGGGGAACGTACTTGTTCTCCAGGCAGGGATAACCAGCCTGCGACGGTAAATAATGATCTTTGGCATATATGAACTTGGATTTACTTTTGTCTTGTTGATATACGATCTGATTAATCGCACGAAGTTGCCTTCGACTTAGCATGTCGATTGGATGCACATACGGAGTTATCCATTTGGAATCAATCTACTCTCGACGTTGTCAATCATAATGATCTGGTAAGAAATCACAACTCAATCCCCTCATGTTTCGGGGCGGTAATGCCAGCCGCCAATTTCGACCTGGCCCTTAGCGTTGGCCCATACCAGTAAAACACAAACGGAATAAACGTCAACAACGTCGCCACAACCGCCAACAACAACCCCGCATACTGACTCCCCATATTATGAAAAAACTGCGACGCAAAGAGCGGGGATACCGCGCCGAGCGTATTCCGCATGAAGCCCTGGCCGGCAATCGCCGAGCTGGAGTTCTCCCCGTAGCAATCAGACGTAAAACTGTAGCAGCTCTCGAAGATAAAGAAAATGCCCACAGTAATGAGGACCAGAGCAATCACCGGCGCAATCCAGTGTAGCTCCTTGTACTGCGTGAAGCTGTAGATAAACAGTCCGATAGGCAACCAGATGGAGCCGAGCATAGCGCCGTAGAGGCGTGCTTCGGGTGTTGCCTCGCGGGCGGGGTCCGCGACGATGGAGCGGTATTTTCTGATCTGGAGGAAGTTGAGCGCGAACCCGAGGGTTGTGCCTATGCAGAGGGCGATATAGGGTAGACCGGCGACGCCCTCGCTCCAGCCCTTTTTCTCCTGGAAGGTGATGGGGATGACGGAGAGGAAGAGGAAGGTGAGGAACCAGGCGAAACTAATCCACAGACCAAAGGCGAGGACGACGGGCTCGGTGACGAGCATGTGGATTGCCTTGACGGAGGAACTGTGCAGCATTTCCTTGAGGCCGGGGGCCTCGAGGTCCTTCTGTGTGACGTAGCGGTCGTCGCCGGTGTGCTGGCGGAGGATCTTGGCGCGTTTGGCGAGGGTGACGCTGCCGCGGGTTTCGCGGAGGCAGAGAGCAATAATAATGGCGAGGGGGATGTTGGCGAGGCCCTGGATGCCTTCGATCCAGCGCCAGCCGAGGGTTTCGTCGATGAAGCCGGCGTAGATGGGGGCGCCGACGGTGCCGAGGATGGCGACGTAGGAGAAGGTGGCCATGGGGACGGCGCGCTGGTTGGGCGTGTACATGTCGCCGAAGGTGCCGCCGACGAGGATGGTGCCGACGCAGCCGAAGAGGCCGAGCAGGGCGCGGCAGACGATGATGGTGGCGATGTTCTGGCCGAGCGCGAGGCCGATGAACATGATGGCGAAGAGGACGTAGGCGCCGACGTAGACGACTCGGCGGCCGGCCAGTTCGCAGAACGGGGCTAAGAAGAGTGGAGCTAGGGCACAGGTGAAGTTGAACGTGAACAGGCCGAGCTGGCCTAGTTCAGAGGAGACGCCGAATTCTGCTGTCATGCGGGAAATGCCTGAGCTGTATGCTGTGGTTGCGAGACCGATGAACAGCGTCATCAGACAGAGGAGAAGGGAGATGAACGCCTTGCGCTTGGCACTCCAGTTGAAGGGGTTCTCCTTGTCTCCCTCCGCAAAGTCTAGCACAATGTATTGATTCCCGTTGTGGTATATCGTCTCCGTCAGGGTGAGGGGCATATCAACATCGACCTTTTGAATTGGCCCATCGTTAGGAGTAAAGGCGTGGTCATCGTACAGCTCATGCAGGTACTTTCCCCCAGCAACGCGACCACGCTGGCGCGGCTGAGTTTGAGGGTGCGAATGGGCATTTTCGGCGTGAGACGCCTGGACAGGCTGGGACTTGTCGGTCTTGTCGGTCTTGTCCATGGCGGGAGTATGGGGAGGTGTGGGTGGTTTCCGTGACAGCTAAGTCTGGGGCAGCTGGCTTAAATATGGAAAGCGAGTGTGCTTCGTCATCAAGCTGCATAAATCATGCGGTGAGTTGCTTCTGGAGTGACAGAGCTAGGCAATGCATGATTTGTGCTCCATAGTGCAGCATCTCGACAGCAAATGGCCTGTCTCGGGAGGTTACGGAGTCCAGCCACGGCATCAAGTTTGTCTCCAACTGCACTTCTCTCGGATAAGGCGTGATCTCTCCTTAGTGATGAGCAGACTACCGTACTACCGTACTCCAACTGCTGTGGGTCACTGAAGATTTTTCATCATCTGTGTAAACTTCGGAGAAACTTGGCCTCGCTGCGTCTCAGACCGCAACCATGACCTCAGGCCATACTCAGTGTATACTCCCCTCTCTTGAAATGAGAATCAAGGGGCATTCAAGCAGTAGAAAGTAAAACTCATATCCATGATATAAAGTATACAGAGGGATCCAAGTCGAAACCTGGCTCGCGAGGGCAGCATCATAGTTTCGGAACTCGCCCGAGATCGACCCATCCGTGGGCCCATGACGATCCAAGCCTCCACACCGACCGAGAACAGGGCAAGTCGCGCGGAGTGATGCAATACAAGCCGAGTCCGGGATCCCGACTCATCGTACGGGGTATCCGTACTCACTACTCATTTATTCTCCATTCCGGCGGTGAGATCGAATGAGAGGCACCGGCCCGAGTCGGCATTCCTGCGCCTCACTGGTCTGCTCCTTCCGCCCTGCCGTTTGCCACCCCGTGGGTACATCCCACGTCCCGGTGGACTAGATTGGAGTCGGGAGAACCTCGGTGAATGAAAGGAGCGACCAGCGATGGAGTGATGCCGAAGAAGCGGTCTGAGAAGTCTTGCGTATAAATGGATGCTTTTCCCTACGACTTTGCTCCTTCTCTTGTACTGTTGCCGAGATGGGAGCGGGTTCTGAAGACCGAGCGATTGTATACCGCCGTCAATGCTGATAATAATTATGCTGAGATCGGTGTTTAATCTCTAACTGGGTGCATGTTCTTTATTGCGGTCTTATGCTCAGCCAGCATACTGGCTTGGTATGAGCGAGTGCCCCGCGACAGCAGTAAACTCTTTATACTGTCCGAGCTTTTTGTTCGGGACGACGCTCATAAAAGTGCGCAAATTTGCATATTGGAAAACATGGTGCTAGACAAGACAGTCATTGACCTGGGTTAGCAATATCCCTGAACAGTCATATAGTAAAGGGAGGATCAATCGCAGCAGAGAGTCTACATAAAGCCAACATAATACATTCGACAAATATAAGACAGTGACTGGTCAGCGTGCGGCCTTTCACGTCCAAAGCAGGTCAATTATAGAAGCTCAACAACCCAGATTCCCCTTAGGGATGAGCTGTAGAACCAATCATCTGCGAAAATTAACCCGAAGCACCCGAGGTGCAGGTCACACCCAGGCTTGAAGGCGTGTTAGCACACAGAACGGTTGCCTTTCCAGATGGCGCCTTGACACTAAAATCACTCATACTAACGTCGCAAGTGCCACGGGCGCCACAATTCAGATCTGCGACAACCCAGTCGTCCTTGCCACTCGTAGTTCCCGAGAACCCCTTGACGATAATATCCTGCAGAATGGCATTGCCTGGGTGGCTCGCGCAGTAGGAGGCGCTTTCCCCGTAGCAGCTCTGGATCTGGAAGGCGTAGTCGCACCCTCGCACGTTGAAGTCGGAGAAAGTCACGTTCTTCACGGTTGACAAGCCATGGCCGTTCCCGCTAGGATAGGTCTTGATCCCGGCTGCCTTGGTCGAATCAATCATGGTGATGCGATGCGCGTAGACATTTTGCACCGTATCGGCGCTGCTTTTGCCCAGTGAGCCGACGGAGATACCGTGCGACCCGGTGCAGGTGACATTCTCGACAGTCACGTAGTTGCAGCCCGGTTTCAAAGCCACACAGTCGTCATCGTTGCTCACACTGACGGACGAGATGGTGACATGCGTGCTGGAGCCGATGTCGAAGCCGTCCGTATTTTTCGGGGGATTGTCGGAACGGGAGGTTGCGTCCATGCGGAGGTTCGTGAAGGTAACGTCCTTCGCGTCGCCTTTGACCGAGTTGAACACGTTGGGGGGGTTCCTCTGGCGGAGGCCGGACACTTCGATGTTGCTACCGCCAGTGATGTAGAGCAGCGTGGGACGTTCATAGTCGCTATTGGAGGCAAAAAGATCGTATCTGTATCGATCAGCTCCTGCTTCAAAAGCACAGAGGCACCTTACGCATTCTGTCCATTGCCATCGATGACACCGGACCCCGTCAAGGATCGGAGCTTCAAGGCATTGATCTTATTGATATTGATCATAGCAGTCTTGCCACCCCAGTACTCGGTCGAGCCGCTGAACATGAGTAGACCTTCAACTTGAATATCACAGTTCGAGCACCCAGCAAGATCCAGCACACTGTTCAAATAGTAGGTCGACCCAGCGGGAAATACTATCGTGCCTCCATTGCCGCACGAGGAAATGGCCTTCCTGATGGCTGGTACATCGTCGATCGAAGAACTTCCACCAGCCGTTGGCGTGCAGACGGCGCGAGGCTTGAATACTGCATCAGGAGAGCGCTCAACCTGCGAGGGAGCAGCGCTGCTTAGGCTCAGGAGAGAGAGAAGAGCGAGATTGCGATAATACAGCATCTTGTCCAATTACTTCTGCAATGAGGGATATCCGACATGACGACGAGAGCTCGCATACATATATTTACTACATTGTACGAGGCGGCTAAATTGATCTGGCAGAGAACTGAAGACACCCGGGACTGGTTAAACAGCAGACGTCTCGGGAATGTAACATATAAATTGATAGATACTCCACCATTCGAGGAAAATCTAAGTCAACTAGCGCACCCACATGCTAAATCTGAAAGACTAAATTTATCTCGCCACTATCCCTATTTCCTGCGGCGCAGGGTCAGTCTGTCGCAGCCTGAACAGGGGAATTGAGCCCGTTGGAAAAACAGGGGGATTGCGGAGAACCCGGTTAAACGAATCAATAAATGCCAACTTAGCTTCCTTGAGTACGGGGTATCCTCCGGGGACTCCACCCACCTGAGGGATCCTCAGGATACTGAAGGATTCAGGTATGGCAGATTGGCCAATCCATTCATGGAAAATATGAAACAGCTCGGGTCTGGCTACGGAGAAATTGTCTCAAGGGGCGCGGCATATAATTTCTCCAGGTCGACCTATGTCATATACTGCAACATTTCATTTATTTAAGATGACGATCACCCTTGAGTTCTCCTCGAGGATCAACAGTCGTTTGTCAGGACATCCAGAAGACCAGAACATCCAGACTGCAGACTGCAGACTCCAGACACCAGAATGCATCTTCCCTCTCTCGTCCTCGGCCTTCTTGGCCTTGGCCTCACGGCTTCTGCAAGCCCAATCGAAGAACGGTCTAATCGCAGTAAAGCTCCAGACGGATGCCTCACTGTCGGCTCGTCGGGCAAGTACTCTACCATCGGCGCTGCGTTGGACGCTCTCGGCGACTCCAAGTCCGACGCCTGCATCTTCATCGGTGCCGGCACGTACAAGGAGCAGATCACCATCGACTACAAGGGAAAACTCACCATGTACGGCGAGACAACCGACACGAGTTCTTACAAGAAGAACCAGGTTACTATCACCCATACTATTTCCTCTCCTCAGGCGGGCACGCTTGACAAGAGCGCCACGGTCAACGTCAGGTCGGACGGGTTCAAGATGTATAACATCAATGTTATCAATGGCTATGGCAAGGGCTCGCAGGCTGTTGCGTACGTTGTCCTCTGAACCCTCCGTCGGAGGTAGCTGACAGGATATGATAGGCTCGTCGCCAATGCCGACAAACTTGGCTTCTACGGATGCAGTTTCGTCGGCTACCAAGACACTCTCTACGCCAAGGCCGGTCGTCAATACTACTCTAACTGCTACATCGAGGGTCTGTTCTTTTCCGCCCTCCATCCACGCCCATCCACGCCCACCTGCATATGCTAATGTCCTCCAGGAGCCACGGACTACATCTTCGGTAACGCATCGGCCTGGTTCGGCGAATGCGACATCATGTCCGTCGGCCCCGGCTACATCACCGCCATGTCGCGCACGACAGCGGACCAGACCACCTGGTACGCGATCGACAACTGCAACATCTACGGGAAGCCCGGAGTCGATCTTACCGCCAAGGTCTACCTCGGTCGCCCATGGCGTGTGCTTGCCCGTGTCATCTACCAGAATTCCCAGTTGTCGAACATCATCAACCCCAAGGGCTGGACGACCATGGCGGAGGGCGCGACACCGCTCTACTATGAGTACAATAACAAGGGTGCTGGAGCGGATACCTCGAAGAGAGAGTATGAGTCTTCCATCTCTGGTGCTGTTAGCATGAACACGGTCCTTGGCAGCGGCTGGAACAGCTGGATTGATACCACGTATTAAGAGTGATTGAGTGGTGGGAAGCTTTGGTACATTGTTGTTGAGGAGGAGGTACCTATTCACTTCATGGTTCCATTTTCCCCAACATTCTTTCCAACGGCGGACGCGCCAATTTTATCATTTGTCTCGCTTTCACTTGGCCCCATATTCTCTCATGATAGCCGTCATACGCAAGTACGACTCTCCTTTGCCAAAGCATAGGCGGTCTTTCCGTCATTGCCAGCCAGGTTCGGATTCGCACTTGCAACCAGTGAAAGGCGTACTATAGGAACATTGTAACCTTGCACTGCGTTCATAAGTGGCGGGTCTCCGGTTATGGAAACAGCATCAATATCTACCGCTTTTGTTGCCAAGAGGTCTTTGACGATCAAATCATGCTGACCGTCTGCTGCCATCCAAAGGGGAGTCTCTCCGCTGACACTTCGTGTATCTGGCGGCACACCTTGACGAAGAAGGGTCTGTACAGCCCGACTGTTGCCATCACGGGCGCCAATGTACAACCGACAAATTGAGCGCAGCTCATTTGTGATTGGCATTTCAAACCTCCTTTCCGAGAGTGACAGAATCATCGGATCCCCACTCGCCGCAATAGTGGGCAAAAACTCTGGGTGACACAAGCGCGCACCGAGTCGAACCTTTTCTGTACTAATAATCTGAAGATGCTATACCTTTAAGAAAAATTCCCATCGGCCTCGAGGACGCGCGCCACAGTGCGATTTCTGTCGGAGAAACTGAGCAGCAGAAAGACAAGTGCTTGCTCTAAAAGAGGGGCCTTCTCGCCCTACTGCTCCAATAGGAAGGTTATGGCCTCATCCCTCGCGCCGAATCCCACGCGGAGTTTTCGACAAGCTCCTCGGTCAAATGAGATCCTCCCGGCCGTGTTTGATCATCAAATCGATCAGAAGCCCAGGCGAATCCGTTTTCACTGCGAGTTGCAATGTCTCCTTGTCAATGAGCGAGACGCCGCGGTATAGAGTTAGCAGATGTGTTAAATCCTCATATCATTACTTTGAATGAGTGTTCGGGCAATATCTTCGGCGAAATCGACTCGCTTCCAATAACCGATAAGAGCCTGGTGCAGGGGCTCTCCCAGTGTAATAGACGTCCGGGCTACGTAGATCGTTGCGGCGTGGGTCATCTCATGTGTGAAGGTGCCTTCATTCCATGGTAGCAGAGCTGCTGTCATGCTTGATGCAAGAAACCCTCTGCAGTGGAACTGACTTGCAGGATACAGCATGCCCGGATGGAACACGCATGGTTGTGCGACAACGAGGGAAGGATGAAGGATGGATCTGTTGATGCTCTCAGCTTGGAATCACATGATCTTTGAGGTGTTTGAGTTGCATGTCACGTGGCTATACTGTCGAGTCAACGAAGCAGTCAAAGAACATTTTTATCAGATTGAGTCCTATTTTAACTATTTGCTCTGTTCTTCCTATATTGATAGTAAACGTCTGTTACTATTGCCCCTTGCTCGTTGCTAATTCTGAGTGTGAAGGCTAAAAGGTTTACTTGTGATTATATATTCCCGCCGACTTACACCACCTTCGATCGGGCGGCACCAGGTATGGCTGACAATCAAATAGGATGTTATATTTAAAAAGATAATAGAAGTCACTACATTTAATCGTAAGAGTCTTTGGCTCAAGTGATTGAGATGAGTGGCAGCCTCACTCATTGACAGCCTAAATGCTGACCACCAATTCATGGATGTATATGTATGGACGAGGCTTAGATATTATTGATTATCATTTTTCACACTTCTAATACCAGCTGTATGAAACTGAGACATCCTGACTCAGAACAGTGAGTGTATGCAGTCAGCACATGTTATCACCTTTAGCGATGGCATCATAGCTTCTTGGCACAGCAATATGGCTTGTGATGGGCAATCAGCGCTGTCAGTCAATCAGCATAATTTATGACTAAGACCAAGATAGAAAGTTTGTTCTACATCTCATCTACAGCTGATAATGCCAATGCATGACAAGGCAGTCAAGACTGCATGAGGCAGCTTGGTTATGCTTGAGGCGGATTGGCGCACGGGAGGCGTTTTGGCCGCGGTAGGATCCACTAAGTACCTTCACAGTACCTCTCAAAGTCTCTACACAGTGACCAGTAGCCACTAATAGTAAGCCCAAGTGCTAATGACGGGTTGGCTTCAACCCCCGCATGGGCGCAAAACTTTCCCCACAGGTCCGACAAGTGCAATTATTGGTAGAGACAGGTATCAAGTGATAGCCTAGCGAATGTCCCTCCAGCCACTGATCTCATCCCACCCCGCGACGATGCCATCTCCGTTTCGCTTGCGCTCGGCTACTCGGCTATGCTTCATCCGTGGTCGATCTGAACTCAGAGCAAACTGTCTAATAGAACAGGGATCCCTGGACGTATGACAGCATACCCCGGTTTCTGTGGCCGGGACAGCCCAGTCAGAGACAATGGTCGACTATATTTCCGGGATTATCTATATTATAGCAATGGTGTGCCAATAGGCTGTCAAGTATCTCCTACAGCGTTGGAACTGTAGTAGAATATGCCTCATCAGTTGACTGACCGTCCAATGGGCGTCTCCGTCAGCGAGTCAATCAGCCCTCATGCAGACATCTCCCATATTTCAAACAATTCCCCAGAGGATATAAGACTGGAACAATCCCCACAGCTGATCCGGTGGAGACATTGTGCCCGATTACCCCAGGTTATATACCTTGGCCGAACTCGACTGGGAGAGAAGACACTGTAGACTTTGTTCATCGCTCAAATAGTTTGTGATCTTAGAAATTACTACCACCACCATGAAAGAAGGTGACTTGCCTTCGCCTCTCTCGGATGAGATGGTCGGTCCCAAAGGAGAAAAGCCCACGACCTTCCAACATGACGAAAAGACCACTCAGCGAAAGGACATTTTCGACCTCGAAGGCCGACCGCCCAATAAGCTGAATGCGGTATTTGAGAATCCCCTCGCCAACGTCCCTCGGGATAAATTGCTGCAGAATGTGGAAGACTTCTGTCAGAAATACGGTTTGATGGACCACATCGACGCATTTCGCAAAGGGGCCCTCATCTCGCAGAACCCTGCTGGTGCTCTGGATTTGCCGGAGCTGCAGGAGGACGAGAAGGCCATTCTTCGCCGGGAGTCTACGCACAAATGGTCCCAGCCATGGCAGCTTTACTTTATGGCTTGTGAGTATTCCCAAAGAATAACAGGTTACTAAGGCGGAGCTGACCTACCTCAGCCATGTGCTCGCTGGCTGCAGCAGTCCAAGGCATGGACGAAACGGTCAACAATGGCGCTCAAGCCATCTACCTGAAGCAGTTCAACATCACAAACCCCGATCACCCTGAAAACTCGAGATTTTCTGAACCCATGCAGAGATACCTGACTGGCCTCATCGTCGGCGCGCCGTACCTGGCTTGCGCCATTCTGGGATGCTGGCTCACCGAACCTCTGAACCGCTATTTCGCCCGGCGAGGTACAATCTTCCTGTCCTGCTTCATCGCCGCCGTCGCCTCGATCTGGGAGGGCGTCGCCAACTCCTGGGTCAACCTCTTCATCGCTCGCTTCGTGCTGGGTCTCGGGATCGGTTCCAAGTCATCGACTGTACCCGTCTACGCTGCAGAATGCTCACCAGCCCCGATCCGAGGCGCCCTGGTCATGATGTGGCAGATGTGGACGGCGTTCGGGATCATGCTGGGGAACATCATGGGTGTGGCCTTTATGGGATTGTCCGACGACCTCTCTTGGCGTCTCATGCTGGGTTCAACCGTTGTCCTCCCGCTGATTGTCTGCGCACAAGTCTACTTCTGTCCCGAGTCTCCTCGGTGGTTGATCGAGCACAACAAGATCGACAAGGCGTTTGCTGCGTTCCGGACCCTCCGGCCGAGCGACCTACAAGCTGCCCGGGATCTGTACTACGCATATGTAGGAGTGGAGCTGGAGAGGAAGGTGAACAAGGGCAAGAATTTTTTCACCATGTTCATTGAATTGTTTACGATTCCTCGTAACCGTCGGGCTACTCTGGCTAGTTGGATCGTCATGTTCATGCAGCAGGTAAGACTCCCAGTATATATTCAAGTCATCTTCACGGCACTTGGCTAATTCAACAGTTCTGCGGCGTCAACGTAATCGCCTACTATTCAACCACCATCTTCGTCGAATCCGGCTACAGTATCCAAGAAGCCCTCCTCGCATCCATGGGCACCGGCATCCTCAACTGGGTCTTCGCCCTCCCCGCCTTCTTCACAATCGACACTTGGGGCCGCCGCAACCTCCTCCTCTTCACCTTCCCCTTCCTGGCCATTTGCCTCTTCTGGTCTGGCTTCTCCTTCTGGATCGAACCAGACGATCCCTTCAGCAAGAAGCGCGTCGCAATGGTCACGACAGGGATGTATCTGTTCGAGGTGTTCTACTCGCCCGGCGAGGGTCCCGTGCCGTTCACGTACTCGGCGGAGGCATTCCCGCTGCACGTGCGTGAAGTCGGGATGTCGTGGGCGACGGCGACGACGTGGTGTTTCAACTTCATTCTCTCGTTTACGTGGCCGATGCTGTTGGATACGTTCAAGCCGCAGGGTGCGTTTGGGTGGTATGCGGCGTGGTGTTTAGTCGGTTGGGTGTTGATCTTGCTTTTTGTCCCTGAGACCAAGGGTGAGTCTGTTGCACCTGTCACTCGTATGGATGCTAATGCTAACGGTTGCAGCTCTTACTTTGGAGGAACTGGACCAGGTGTTTTCTGTGTCGACGAGGAAGCATGCTGCGTATCAGATTCGGAACGCCGTCTGGCATTTTCGGGTTTGGGTTCTTCGGCAGAAGCTTCAGCCGTTGCCGAAGTTTTATGAGGGGGAAGAGGGTCTGACGGAGTCGTAAGCCCCCCCCCCTTTTGGCCGTGGGAAGAGCGATGTAGGTTTGGTTGCAGGCTGTAGATGGTTGAATCTGTTGCACTCTGTGCATGTGGATAGTCTTTAGACGCTTCGCTCATGTCGTTGATACCTTACCTGAATGAGTATCCATCATCGATTGATTCCAGCTTTACTCACCAGTAAATTGGATAACTTTGTATCCGGTACTGTTCGAATCAGGCCGCTAGGCTGTAGACTGCTGCGATCGTCCGTGATACTATTATCAAACGACGATTTTACGATCGCAGACTGTCACGCACCCTCAGTAGGGATCATTGCAATCATTCCCGACTCGAAACAGCCAGAAAGTCGGAAAAGTCAAACGACCACCTATAGAATCCATTGCTGAGATCGACCGGTCGCTGATGGCGATTGAGTCCCACTGGGCTGGCTTGCTCGTGGCACGAGCGCGAGAACCGCTGTTGTGCCATGCCTGTATTGAGAGGGATATGCCTTGGTAGAGTCAAGGCGCGGGGAAGATTCACCGCGGCATTCGGGTTCGAGGGACGCGATTGTTTAACCTCTTGAGCGGATGACCAGGCTCTAGACGACCCTGGCAACCTGGTTGTCCCAATCGCTCCGCCCACGATATCGTTTCCATGAAGACTTCCCAGAGACGGTTCGGCGTCCGCTGCACTTCCAGTTACTGGGGGCATATGCTCTTTGATCGGTTCTGCGAAGATGCCAAGTTTATCGAGTAGTTCGTGCACAATCGGTCGGTTATTGCCATCGCGATCGACCTCTGGGAGTCGGGTATTTTGCTGAATGCATTCGTATAACTTCCTCAAACCGGTTATCAGATACGCCTGGTGCTCTTCTAACATATCCACGTATCTTCATTTGTCAGTTTCATCCAAGAACGAGGCAGAGGACTTACCCAGCGGGATACTTCCGTCGTAACGGTTTCTTCTCCTGATAGACGCAAGGGATGTGGTCCCCGCAGCGAATGCACGGTTTTCCTCCGTCGCACTGAAAAGTCAGCATTGTCGCGCGTTATCCACAAAACGAATGCTTACTCTGGCCTTTTGCGCACGGCACCGGTCGCAGGCCCTGCCGATCCGTCTCCGGGCCCCATGGGTCGCTTGGCAGTGATCGTCGGCGTCCGAGGGGCGTTTTCGCGCGGTCCCTGACCTCATATCGTGGGGAAAAGGGTATCGATAGATCAAATCAAGCGATCAAAGCGATAGGTTTGGTGAAAGCAAGTACTGTCCTAATAAATGATTTCTCCTGTCCTCGCTCTTAATCATCGATTTGGGTATCAATGCAAAATCAAACGATTAGAGGGTTATGACGTCCAATACCCACTTACAGCCTTGCAGCCTGAAATCCTGGCGATTCTCAATGGCCTATCAATGGCCTATCATAGTTGTCACTAGGCTGGTCCACTGTCCACGGTGGTTGCATTCAATTAAGGCACATGTGAGCATGAGTGCTCCTGTCTCTAGGTAGGCTGCTGGCTATAAGGTTTAGAGGGGGAAAGGATGCGTTCTGGTAAAAGTCAATCGTCCCTCTCAGACCAGGCAAAGCTTAGTCGAATTGAACCCTGTATCCGACAGGCAAGAAGCAATGAATCACTGCACGGACTGACCCAGGGAGGCGACAGAATCATTCTATTCGCTAGCCCTAACATCGTGATGCCCACCAATGTCTCAGTATATCTGCTAACAAATCCATGAATCATGCATCGGAACCTGGAAATCTCATAACCAGGGGGAATGGAATCTGGGAATGTTATCTGGGAATGGAATGGGGAGTGGAAATATGGAAGATGCTTCCGTGGGCATCCGCAGTGGAGACTGGAATGGAACATGGCCAACGGTTGCTCTCGATGCACCAATCAATACCACCAAATGTCCGGCAAGGTTCGATGGTTACATTCTTTATTCAAGATGTGCAAGTGTTTGCATCATAGATTGATAAAGTACGGTGCCCCAATCTTGATTTCTGGACGGTGGATACTTCTAGGCTTGGAATAGACTCTGGATGCAGACCATCCACTGGCTTAGCTTTTCTAATTGGATATATCCTGGGGTTACGGAGTACTTGTAGTGTGTTCCCATGCAGATGTAGTTGTATACAGCAACCTGTAGGCCTCTCTGATTAGCAGAGCATGATCTGACTGATTAAAACCCTGTCCGTTTCAATAACACGAGATCAGCGACCGAGCACCATAATGTAAAATCTCTCATCTCAACGCATGAAGATTACAACGAGGCGCCGAACTAGCACCAGCCATGTATACCGTAGGATCTCTCACTACCCTCAAAACCGGAAGCGCAGCCGCCTCGAGTGGTTTCATCAGCCCCTCAACCTCCCATTCCAACCCATACATCGGCCGTAGAATAACGACCAGGGTTTCGAGTCCACCCAGGCGTTTCAGCACGCCGACGACCGCTGCCCATTTATCCAAGCGGTCAGCCGGGGTATTCTCACCATACCGCGCCGATTCGAGATACAGATGCCGGAATGAACTGAGTCGCGCCGGGGATAAAGACGACGGGAGTTCCAGCAGGGTGCGCGGATTCTCAATGTAGAATGTGTTTTCGCAGTAGAGCATGTCGACTGTCTCGTCGTATCTACTCCTGTCAGCTACGGCATTCAGCGACAGAGGATAAGCAAACATACACCCTTCTACAGCTCCGCAGGAACGCCAGAACCCTAGCTTGGATTCGAGTCTCGGACGAAGGACGCTCTGCGACGTCGTCAGATGTCCCCTTCCGTGGTGAGCAGCGGTGGTGGTTCACTCGACACCGTGGACAGATCAGCTGCGGGCGCTTCTCGGGCTGCTCGTCTTCGGATAGCTCGCAGAGAAAACTACGGAATTTGCGGCTTCTGGTGGTTCCCACGTAGGCGAGGTGGACGGTCACGGGGAAGACGAAGATTTCTCGATAGATAATGTCGCGGATTTCGCGAGGGAGACGGAAGATAAGAGACGCATGTTGATTGCAGGGTTGGGTGTTGGAGGTGCTGTCTTGCTTGTTCCTTTTGTTAGGGACTCTTTGAAGCATTCTAGATGGTTGCTTTGATGATCGGGTCGCATCTTTGCGCTTTTGGCCGGCCATTGTAGGGGAGATCAAATATCTCTAGTCAATGCAAGGTATGTTCACACTCAATCCTTGGCATAAATCAAATGATGTTCTCAAGGGGAAAGATTTGACGCGCTAAAAGGATCCATACCAAAATTTACAGCGATCTCGTCTTCTGGATGAATTGGTGATATATGTAAGCGTGCAGGATGCATGGATGATGGAGGGGTAATCGAATTCCCCTCACGCGTTATGTTTCCCACGCGTCGATTTCTCGTTAGCAACCACCAGCTCGTATAAACAGGCTACCGCCAGAAACCTCTTAACCAGCATCAAATTCGAAATGGGCTCCATCCCCGAAGAATGGTATCGGTCGGCTGGTTTCACGGATGCTCAGCAGCGAGCAATCGCTGAAGCCCGGCAGCGCGTCCATGCGGCTGATGGCCCGACCACGAAAGGCATCATCGACAGGATTGCGGTTGCAATCACACAGACTTTCACTAACAGCGATGCAATGGTTGAACAATGGCCCTTTCATATCCGAGAGCTGATGAACCGGTTCTCGCGATTTGCTGCCCCGCCCGCCAAAGTGTTTGAGACAAGGGCACGACCGCGGGGTCAGGAGAAACGGAAGCAGGCCATCTCTGTATAGATATCATTGCTGGCGTTTTTGGGCGTCAACTGGAACTCGTATGGTGCAGCCGATGCCCTGGAGTCTATGGGATTGAATCTATCCTGGGCTCTCAAGGACGACATCGATGCCATTCGGTACTACGCCAAGTCAGGACGGTCGTTAAAGCACTCGGTGAGATGGCCAATACATTCTTCATGAAGATGATCAAGGACGCTACGGCCACGCCACACACCAATCCCTTGGTCTGGTGGCTGGCTGTTTTGATCCAGGCTGAAGTCCTAGACGACCAACCCCACTGGACGGTGGCAGGCGTACAAGACACGCTGTCATTCTCTCACAAGCCTGAAGCCATTGATCATTATGCTCGCATATTGGTCTTGGAAGATGCCATTTATCGAGGCGACCTAAGTCCAGCTCAGAAAGAAGATCTACAAACTGCATTGGATCAGGTCTCTATCAGTTGGATTGGTCAAGATGCCGAGCGCCCTGCAGTCGACCCTCGCCAGGCCTTACTCGAAAGGGTCTCGCACAAATGGAGGACCTATACCGAATATCTGCTGCCAATATCTGCAGAATGGTTGACGGGCCAAAGCACAGGTCCCATGTCAACGGTCATACTGTTCCTTCACGGAAAGCTAGAAAGCCCTTTGTATAAAAGGGTGTACAAGGTCAAGATGCAGATTGAAGAAGGTTTCTCTGTCGATCCCATGATGGCGACTTGTTACCCAGCTGAGGTGGAAACCAAGGCCACAATCGAGCAAGCGAACAAGGAGGCTCGGAGATGCATCCGTGATGAGTTAGGACCGAAGAAGGCATCCCTCAAATGGGACGAAGTATATGACGAAAGCGGCATGATCCGCATTCGAGCCATCTACCGAGATGAGGCTAATGATGCAAGGGCTGTTGCATGGGTTGAGGAAGCGGACATCCTGACTGCAGACATGTAAATCTCCTGGAGGCTAGCAGAACCACATTCCTGAAATAGATTGATCCATCCCCATGACGGTATATTTCCGTTTCCCTACGAGTCATGCGACTACGAGTCATGCGCCTGTTAGAGTCAGGGGCTGTTTTTAATAGATTGACGGACGCTTGGCATGCCCGTTCCGCTGTTTGGGGATTGTTTCGTCCATGAATGCTCGAGCGCGATAGAGTCTGTCCTCCGGGCCCAACGCTTGGCGCTCCCTTGTCACATACAGAGAGAGAGTCCCATTGGCGGAGATGACCCTGAAGAATGGCCATGGAGGGAACAATTTCGAGGAAATGTCTTACCGTCCGACCAGAACTACAGACCCCCGATTCTTGGCGTTTTGTTCCACCATCTGGGGGCATATATAGTTCTACAGGAACCCTGTTGAATACTCTCACTATCCATTCCATAGCTATTGACTAGCTACTTCTCTCTTTAATCAACCTCTACTTATCACTATTGCATTTACTTGTATATAATGAAGGCTACTTTCTATCTCGCCGCAATCCAGCTGCTGGCCAGCTCCGTTTGCGGTCTCCCGCTGAAGGACAGCCAGATCCCAGGAGACCTCGACGCCCCTGCTGGCAGCGCATGGGTTGAGAAGCGCCAGAGTAGCTCCTGGAGTCCCCCAGCTAATCTCGTCAAGCCTCTCAACGAGGTACATATCCCATCCCACCTCTAACCTAAAAGCCCACAATCTAACATCTACCCACATCCAGGTCTGGGAGCACCAAATGGCCACCTACAGCGACCCGATGGGATTCAAGAACTACGGCTACGACCAGGTGATTGCCGGCCGCGGTAAAATCAACTACTGCGTGCGCTGGGATTCAAGCAAGAAGGTAACCGCCGCACAACGCAACCAGATCGCCGCTGCGGTGAACCGCTCCTTCAACAAGTGGATCGCTGGGCTCGCCGGTTTCGACGGCTTTCCGTATAACACGGTCGAGGTGAAGGTCGTCGGCTACGCCGTGCGCGATCGGTCCCTCCTGGAAGGCGACACCTCGGGACTGGACATCTACACCAACACGGACGAAGGCGGGATTCCCGAGTGCGATCCGCGGTGTGGACGGTTCTTCCACCAGGACGGTGATTATAGTCAGTGTCCGGGCGGTGCGAGCCGTCACTATGGTATGCGTCCTCCCCTGCGGTAAATACTGAGACTAACGATCGTAGACGAGAGCTTATGGCTCACGGATGGTTTCCAGGGCGGCGCGGGCGGCGACTGGGGCCAGCGCATGGGCCAGGAGTATTTCATGCAGAATGTCAACTCGGAGAATATCCATATTTATCTACATGAAATTGGACATACGTTTGGCTTGGATGGTTAGTCTGTTCCTTGTTTCCTTGGATGAGTTTGTGCTGACACTGCATATAAGATTTCTATGACTGGACTCCTACTGGCCAGACGAACTTCATCATGCTTGCAGGCAGTGCGACACAGATCACCGAGTTTGATATCTGGATGCTCCGTGACTGGTGGCGTCATCTGAAGAACCGGTACAATCTGTAGATCTTGTAGCCAGTCCAGTCATTCTCAGTGGAAGTGCCTTGTTATCTTTATCTATTCTTCTTTTGACATCCATGTGCCGCCACTGTACAGATGCGGTTCGGTTTACCTTGGATTTGTCTTGAGTACTGCTGGCAGAATGGTCAAGTAACTAACACCTTTCATTGTCTCTGACAGTAGTTGCTTCTTATACTATCTAGTATAGTTCTTAGGGTCTATACCGTCAACGGAGCGCTGAAACGTATTGATACTTGCCCAGTCCTTGAAAGAGGTAGATGACTGTATATCTATTTCGGGTTTTCCTGTGCGCAAGGGGATTATGACTGTGCTGAGATAGACATGATAGTGCAAGGCAATAAAGGCATTCTAGGAATACCCCAACATCCCAGTCAATGTAAGAACCGCTACGCTAAAACAGTGTCCCATCACCCAGTATCAAAATCGGGCTCGATCTAGTCTCCGGCCTCTTCTCAGCCGCCAATTCCCGTCCAGCCTTCCAGCTGCCAGCTTCTAGAACCTGGGCAAGGCTCAGCCTGACACCAAAGAACACCTCGCTGTTCATAATTTGCGCATGCAACATATCCAAGAGCGCAACCGTCATCGCGCGCCACTCTACAATCTCACCCGACGTCGCCTCAAACGCCGGAAGTCTCGATCCAGAATTCTGTCGACCGCGTTCTTCCGCATCAGGCTTCAGTGTTAGAACACCAAGGTCAACGAACAGGCCTCCATTGCGGTACTCGGGGAGACCGGTGCCGAGATCCATATTTGCCCATTTCACGCCGAGCAGGCGCTCAAAGGGGACGGTCAGGGAATACGCGAGCCACTGCGTAAGTTTGTGGAAGGGCTGGATGTGCGCGCATTTGGAGTTTTGGTGTGTTCGCTCGGCTTCATCTGCGAGGACTTGGAGGGGCCATGCGTCGCCGAGCGGGTGGCCGTCGATGTGGGTGCGGGATGAGGGCCACACGGGCAGGAGGACGGTTTGCAGTGTGGTCCAGAGGGTTTCGTAGTTGATCTCTTTTGCGGTCGGTGAGTGAGAAAGTAGGTAGTCTGCTATTGTTAGACAGTGTCTGTTACAAGGATACGAGGAACGATACGAGGAACGTATTACGCACCAGCTAGGTTTCCTGGTCGACCGGCCAGACCGAATATCTCTGGCAGGTTCAAGAGTGACCGACCCAAGGCCCGTAGTAGTTCCACGCGAGAAGACGCTCCGACGAGGGGATTCGTCTTCTCGTCTATCTGGAAACCGCGTTGCAGAGTTGCAGCGTCAAAGTCCTTGAGGGCTTGCCCTGTTGATATTCAGTCCTGCACTTGCACTAGAGGGGGATGGAACCAACCCATCACAATATGCCTTCTCTCACTATCAGCAGCCGAAAAGTCGCCATTCACGAACATATTGTACGAAGCTAATGCGGTCCCCTCGCTACGACCAACAACGATATCCGTGTCTGGCTCAGTGAACCGCCATTTGTCACCTGCTCCCGCGTCAAGCAGCACCGAGACGAAGAATAAGTCCAACAATCTACGTGTCTGCTCAAGTGCATCCACGCCGTCACTCTTCCACTGCTTCAGTAGATTCTCAGGGCGACTGACACCCCCGACTTCAAAGTGTTGCCAGCGGCCATGTGGCGGGATGAGGTGGTACTTGTCTGGACCAAAGTCGCGCTAAAGCCGTCAGTTTAGTCCTCTGGCTACTTCAGTAAACGCACCTTAATAATATTTATCACGTATTGTACTGCATCCTGGAGGCGATTGGGATGGTACTCAAAGTGATTCAGGCGATTTTCCTCTGCAAGTTGCAGGACTCTATGGGCTCGTTCACGGACAGCTTTTAGCCCAAGGACGTACTGTATTTCTCGATCCATTTCCTGCTACTGTAGAAGAATATCCTTGATGTTGCTGTACTATCAGAAGTAGGTCAGGAATGAGTCAAGATGAACAAGATCAAGGACACTTGGATGCGGGGCTGTTGTCCTGCAGGTCATTAGGTCAGCACCATCAGGGTTGTATCCATTATCCAACAGAATCATGCATGCTGAAGTGGCATATTCAAGAGAGTTGCCATGGTATGTTCGATGCCCATCACGTTATCAGATTATCCTATAGGGGCATCCCTGTCCTTATCTCCACTAATATAGAGATAAGACAGCCACTGCCTATCAACATGTTATCTACCCTATTAAGGACATACTGATATCTTAGGACCTGAATCGATTAATATCCATGTGAAGAAACCTGATGATCGCACTTTGGTACTGAATTGGACATCCCTTCTCATTGAAAGGTCGACAAATGCGGGAATAAATTGTAATAAGCCTCTATGCGTACCACTGCATGATGCCGAATACTCAGACCAACAAAGATCCCGCATTCGTGCTCACACAGCTCCCCGTCGCATTCGTATCCTTCATCAAATAAACATACGCCTCCGCCGCCTCCTCCACACTCCCCACCTTCCCCAGCGCGGTCCTCTTCGCCAACATCTCCGCCATCTCATCCGTAAACAACCCCGTCTTCACCGGACCAGGACTAACGAAATTCACCCGCAGGGGCTTCATATCCAACGCCAGACCGGGCACCATCCCGTATAACCCAGCCGAATACCCCGCAACAACAGCCCAATCCGGCTGCGGCCGATCCCCCACCGCGCCACCGGTCAGGATCAGCGACGAGGTATACCCCGGCTTCAGGACCCGCAGGGCAAGTTTTGCGACGAGCAGCGGGACATCGAAGCGGATGTGTCCTGCCTTCTGGATGGACTGCAGATCGAGGTCCTTGAGCGGTCTGACGGCTAGCGCGTCCCCGGCGGTGTAGACGATGTGGTCACAGGAGCCGATTTCCTCGAAGAGCTTGACGAGGCGTTGCTCCACGTCCGGGAGGGAGAGGTCGCAGGTGTGGCCTGTTATTTGCCCCGCGGGATACTTTTCTTTCAGGGAGGAGACGGCCTGAGTGATGCGGGTGGGGTTGGAGGAGGAGATGTGCACGATGGCGCCTTCAGAGAGACATTTGTCGGCGACGCCGTAGCCGATGCCAGAGCTACCGCCGAAGATGACAACCGTGGAGTTTTGGATGGAAGGCATTTCGTCGTTATAAGTACAAAAAACAAGGTATCTGATTGTTAATATTGTTGCAGTGGGAGATTTATATACCAGCAGATCATTCACCCGGATTTAATGCGGAGATAAAAGTTGTGGATATCCCCGAATTTTGATGTACTCACTTTTTGCCGGCTTTTCCGGCATTTGCCAAAGACGGGGAGAAGGATGACAAATGGACAATCATCTACCGGGGACTTCTATGATTGCATCCACCTCGGAAACCGAGAGATATGTCCGTATTTCCTACCCAAATACCGCTCAGCCGAGACCAACGACGTTGCACATTGCTCGAGCAACATAGTCCACACTGCCTTCTTGTTAGCCACAAATACTCACCCTGCTGGAGGCAATCAGATATACATGATTATACTCCCGTAACCTGCTCACATGGTCCTGACTCAGCTTCACATAGCAAAGCATCCCAATCAGGCAATAAACGACCAATCACCGCAGATTCCATAGTCTCCAGCTTGCCACACAGCCGCGACCGCATAGCCTAAATCCTCGAGCTCATACTAATCAGATATGCCTCCCACTGGACTTTCAGGTCCGGGTCCCCAAGGGCTATCTCGACGACAATGGCCCCGAACTTGACTGGATTCGAGTACGCCTCTGCCATGAGAGTACATCTGGATTTGGCTCCTCCAGCAGACATGCCTCGGGGAACCACCAAATGCAAATGGGCGACTCCTTCACCATACAGCCCGAAGTTGTTAGAGTAGGATTGTGCGATACATACTCTGAGAAGTTTCGAGTCAGTCGGAGAGTATCTGCTCAGTGGAGTATCAAATGGCCCAGACGTCTGCCTCAACGTCCGCCGTCGCGAACCCTGGTCGACACCGTCGAAGACGGGGCAGAGGCTCTCCTCCTCTACTAGGTGCGCTACCTGCATTCACTGGGATTTTGTAGGTACCATGACGGTAGGGTTGCGGCGCGCATGCAGACAGTTCGTCAGCACTCTGCGGATTCTGAGCGAACCAGTGCCGAATTGTCGCGGAAGATGGCAATATTTCCCTCAACGGAGAGATTGACCTTATATTATAATGTTCTTATCCAAGCGTTATGATTCGGGTGCGTCGTATCGGTCATGGTTTCAGTGAGCGATGCTTCGTACAGTATATATATAATGGCGTCTGGATGCTGTGCCGATCTGGCAGTTGAACTGCGACCGGCACGATGCATGGGACTGATTGACTAGATGATCGCCATTGTCATCATGAATCAGAGCAGGTTGATTACGTTTTTGAAAAGTTGTCTTCTTTCATTGTCCGAGATGAATGTGTTGTGTGCCGTCCAAAGTCCTGTCCTGACTGGATAGACTGGTTGTGAGTCTGTTTTCGTTAATGTACGACCCCTTAAACTAGGTTTGCGGACTTGGCTAAAGGAACCAATCAATTTGCCAGTAGCCCAGAGACAAAACAATTACCGAAAGCCAACCAAAAAAAAATGGAAAAAAGAAATCAAATAGCATGTCCTGGTTTCGATCCAGGGACCTCCGGGTTATGAGCCCGGCGCTCTTCCCCTGAGCTAACATGCTGTTATTGAATATTAGAATCCTTTTGGCATTATCAACCAGCACAATACAGTTGCCGATAATGCTACAAGCAATCGCCCCAATTTATCAGGATCAATGAATTAACAGTATTTGGGAGGGAAAGGAAGAAATTGCGAATTATTCTACATTGTAATGAATTATGGGAGAACCGACCAGGTATAGGTAAATAAATCCAGCTATATATTTGTCCATCATCTATGTGCCGTCTTCGAGGAAATTATCATATATACTTCTGGAAGGATGATTCCACTACGACTCAGACAACCACTCGTCCCTGACTAATGCTCCCACCGCGAGGACGAGGCTTGCTCACATTCAGGCAAGGGTAATGATCCCTGAGAAGTAAACCGGCCTGCCAGGAACAATATGGTATGTTCCTAGTCATGAACGATGGTCACTAATTACCCCTATTAATCTCCAATAACAAATTTGTGATCCATATAGACAGTTGAATGATAAAAAGCCGAGGCAACTCCGGGTATTGATATTAAAGAGACCCATAGGGCCGTAATTCTGGGAAATCAGTATTCAGGAGCCATATTACAATTCTGGAAACATGAGTTGCCGAGCGGGCGCATGTTATGCCTATCGAACGGCCTCGCCTGGGCTTCAGCGAACTCGTATAAAGAAGAGAGCTATACGGAGTAAGAAGGAGGACTTTCCGGAAGCTTCTTACGGATAATTTCTATTTAGACGCCTATGCAGGGTTTGTTTCATCATTCATAGCGCATTCCTCCGTTCCGGTTCTAGGCCACGGGTAGGGGGGTAGGTTAGGCTGTACTGTGTAGTGACGCTGTGTCGATCGGATGAAAGAGCCCGAAATTAGTAGAAAAAGGTCCCTTAATATTCCTAGAAACAGGGGAACAAGTGAGACAGTGCAGCTAGAAGCTCGCGGTTCGTTGTTAGCATCGGAGGACATTCCGGAAACGCAAAGTGACGACACCACAGTGAGACAAAGCAGTATAAGTTAATATATTTCAATATGACCAAGCGGAAGTGCTGGACTACATGATTCTGCCCACTCCACAGGTCGGACAAGGTCATGTTGGGAGAATGGCCGCTTATTGGCCGGCAAAGATGGATCTCGTACTTTACGGTCGACGAGAGTAGGGCTATTGGTACATGAGTAAGGCCCCATTGCCCGTTCGGGGGGCACCCGGTCCATTTAGGCGACAAGACACCGCGCTGGTCAATGGCAAACAGGATAGATCGAAAATGCTAGTCAGACAGTGAAACATATAGATGAAACCCCTTCTTGGCACCGTTGGTGACAGGGAAGCCAAGAGGCCCCTATGTCTTGGCAGGGACCCGTTCATCTCCTGTGGCCCCATCGCTTCAACTGGACTATTGATGCTATCTCCAGTACTTCGTCCTCTAACCACCGTTGCTATATAAACCCTTCCCCCCATTCATCATGTTTTCTCCAAGTCTGGACTGCTCAGCATTCATCTCTCCTTCATTATCTGCATTCTTTCGTTTTCTTTTCTCTGCCTCTCCTTCATTTCAGTCACTCTTTACAATTCAAACTATCTTTCAAAATGAAGTCGACCTTCGGATTGCTCGCTCTGGCAGCAGCAGCTAAACTCGTCAGCGCCCACGCCACTGTCCACGCCGTCTGGATCAACGACGTGGACCAGGGTGCGGGAAACTCCGCTGACGGATACATTCGCACTCCCCCCAACAACAGCCCTATCACCGATGTCACCTCCGCCGACATGACTTGCAACGTCAACGGCAAGAATTCCGTTGCTAAGACCCTCTCCGTCAAGGCCGGTGACAAGGTTACCTTCGAGTGGCACCACGACTCTCGTTCTGCCTCCGACGACATCATCGCTTCCTCCCACATGGGTCCCGTCATGGTCTACATGGCTCCCACCGAGAAGGGAACAGCTGGCAACGGCTGGGTCAAGATCGCCGAGGAGGGCTACTCGAACGGCAAATGGGCGGTTGCTAACCTGATCGCCAACAAGGGCAAGCACTCGATCACCGTTCCCGATGTCCCCGCCGGCGAGTACCTGCTCCGTCCTGAGATCATTGCCCTGCACGAGGGTAACCGCCAGGGTGGCGCCCAATTCTACATGGAGTGTGTCCAGGTCAAGGTCACCTCTGCCGGCACCAAGACCCTCCCTGCCGGTGTTTCCATCCCCGGTGCCTACAAGGCCACCGACCCCGGCGTTCTCTTCGACATGTACAACTCCTTCACCAGCTACCCCATTCCTGGCCCTGCTGTCTGGGACGGCTCTTCCTCCGGCTCTTCCGGCTCTTCCGACTCTAGCCCTGCTACGACTGCCCCCGAAGCGTCCGTGACCTCCGCTCCCACCAAGCAGGGCTCCGCCGACACATCAGCCTCTCCCACCACCTTCGTTACTGCCACCAAGCCTACCACCACTGCTGCTCCCGCTGCTCCTCCCGCCAGCACTGGCTCCAACTCCGGCTCCGGCTCTTCCGGCTCCGGAAGCGCCAGCGGCTCTGTCAAGATTTACCAGCAGTGCGGTGGCAAGAACTACTCCGGTGCCACAAGCTGCGAGGCCGGTCTCACCTGCAAGGAGTGGAACCCTTACTACCACCAGTGCCTCAAGGCTTAAGCATGCCGTGCCAAGTTGCATTGGGCCTGACCGTCTACCATTCATATCCTGTATTTAATACGCTCCCGACGATTGACGGAGTCGTGAGCTATTCTAGCTAGATATTGTGCATAGGCACTGGCACCAACTGAGAGTTAGCATTATCTTTTCGAAAGTGTCAATCGCACAACGTAAAGTCCCTGTAGCAATCTAGTGTAAAATCTCGCCTGTCCATACTTTCGTGATGGCATGTCGTACAACTGCCCCGTAGCCGCCGCCGGTGTTTCATATCGGTTTTATCCACACACTAAGGGCAAGATCCTCGACTTAAAGCAGAAACTTTCGGATCAATCCGAAACTCGTATCTGTCTTATCATGTCTTACTTTGATACGCTAATTTTCCGAATAGGCTAAATGACGCGGAATTAAGCGAGAGGGTCTACACAGGCTGTACAGACAAGAGAGCGTCATACCGACGATTCTCCCGCAGAACCTCAACTACCGATCTCTATCATTGAATCGAATGTAAACTCTGCTCATCTGCTATTAAATCAGAGCTGGAGCTTAGCACAGATTAGTGCTCACTTGACACCAATACGCTACTAACTACGAGAGGATATTATTTCCATGGATGTGGTTGTAGTGCAGTAACTACAACACCCTATTGAATGACTTTGACACTACGTTCCAACCCCTTTGCTGACGGTATTCTGTTCAATATTTACGGTAAAGCTTGTAATGTGCTCTACACCATGATATATATCAGCCCAGTACAAGCAGAACACTTTGGAGTTGGCTGGAGACTGCTCAATCGACAATCCTATATTTCGATGAGGGAAGTAGACAAACTCCAGATCCAGCCGGCTTTATGTTCCATACCACTGGGTTGCGATTATCTCTGAATCTGGCATCTGTAAAAGGCAAAGGATGATCATAATAGGCGAACGCGATCTTGCGTCATTATATGTCAGCAATGATTACTGTGACCTTGCGTGAGAGAATTCCTAACTCAGTATTCACTTAATGCTGCTGAACGGACAAATGAGCAAGTATAGATCATAATCTATCGGAATGTCCCGAAAGATGAGCTCACATTCACGATCTTTGCCTCTGTTATTATCTGATGGATGTATCCAGAACCCAGGTCCAACTCCGGTTGCAACCCGTGGTTCTCAACGACTCGCTACCTTTATGTGTATAGAGGTGACGTAGATGTGCCTTCTACTTCCTCGCACTACAAACATTCGTTCTACGAGAATTGACCAGACATTGTTGTTGTCTGTTTCTGAAGCTACTCATCAAGCAAGTGTTCTTGTTGGAGCCATATGGCTACATCAACCATGGCACCCCAAACCTCGACTCGCGATATACAAATGATCGACTCCATCGGCGCTCTGGAGAAATTACTCAACGAGCTCGATTACCCCTCGCATAAACCCGCCGCTCTGTTCTTCGACGTCCAAACCATCAATCCAAGAGAAACGGCTCAATCTCAATTATCTCCCTCTTCGTTCGACCAATCAAAAAGGTCTTCCTGATCGACGTGCTCACCCTAGGCGTCGATGCATTTACGACTACCAGTCTCGCCGATAACTCGCTCAAGCTCCTGCTTGAATCTCCCGCCGCGTCAAAGATCTTATTCGACGTCGGAAACGCCTCTGCCGCGCTGTTCAAGCATCACGGGATTTGCCTGAACGGAATCAAAGACCTCCAGGTTATGCAACTCGCAACGCAGGATCCACGCGCCCAGCAAGCTCAAGCCGCAAGCTTGGGGACCTGCGTCGAGAAAGACGCGCATATTCCTCCACGGTCTCTCGCGCTGTGGAAGCAGGTGCACAGCACTGTGAAGCAACTGCGTGATCCGGCCAAGGGAGGAAGCGACGCTGTGTTCAAAGAGCGGCCTCTCAGGAAGACAATCCTCGATTATCATTTGCAGAACGTTTTGATCCTACCGTGGCTGTGGGTCGTTTACTGCGAAACGCTCTGCAAGCCGAACAATGCCTTCTGGCGGAGCATGGTCTTTCACACGGTCCGGGATAGGATTAGAGAATCGATGGACCCCGCTCGCACCGGTGGAGCTGATGCCAAACATTGGGGTTGGAGTAGGGAGTTTATTGAGACTAGCAAGCTCGGATGGAACGAGGATATACTTCTTGAGCTTGAGGGAATTCCCATGGTGGGCCGCTGCTGGCTTGATCCCAACTTTTTCTGAACGTTCTTGGTGGCTGGATACTTTGATATTGAGATATTTGCGTGTTTTGTCTTGCTTGGTGATGTGGATGCTATCTGCTAATACCCGGATGAGTCACTTGGATGTCTAGCAGTTTGCAATATTCGGGAAGAAATGAATGAACATGTTCAAACATAACTGGGTGCTCCGTACACAGACTGCCCTGCCATCGTCAGTGTCCTTTCAGCGTAACTTAATATAGATATACACTATAATTGGTCCATCTGAATAGCCTGCAAAACATGCACGATGAAAACAATCATTATTAACCGCGGAGGAATAGTTGCCAAGGTCAGTTTCCGGCAGATATCTCCTTGACCTTAGCCACGTTGATTATATGCTGATTAAGCCGTGAGAAGCTTATATAGCCTCGCAGATATCCAAACCGAGATAATTCCCAGATATCAGAAGGATTATCAAACTCTTCCTCTCTATCATCCAAAATGGGCTCAATCGGAACTCACGAAAAACTCTCTGGCTTCAACCTGATCCAGAGACACTATAAACAGATCAGAGACCACGCTATCCGTGCCGACTTTATCATCCCCAAGTCTACATTCACCGGCAAACGCCCAGTAATCGTCCGCTTCCATGGAGGAGGCCTGGTAGGGTCTACACTACACCCATTCCTGGACTCGCACTAACCGACCAGATAACTGGCGACTCCCTCCTAATGGAATGGTTCCCGACCTGGCTGCTCCAGCTCGCCAAAAAGCACAACGCCGTCATCGTAAGCCCAAACTACCGACTCCTCCCCGAATCAACAAGCCCGGAGATCTTCTCCGACATTGAAGATTTCTGGACCTGGCTGCATTCGTCTGCCGTCGCGGAGCTGCTCGCAACATGTTCCACGCCTACCCAGCTCGATTTGGATCGGATCTTAACGGCTGGAGACTCCGCAGGCGGATTACTGAGTATCTGCGTTGGATTGGCACACGCAGACGAGATCCGCGCCACGACAGCTACGTATCCCTGCATCGACATGGCGTCAGAGTACTTCCGCACTCCTACGAGCTCTGAGCCCTTACCGGATGTGCCTGCGTCCACGGTGGACGATTACCTAGCTCAAATGGACAGAAGTGCAATTCGCTCGTCAGCCCTCCTACCGGATCGGTTTGATCTGATGGTAGCGGCTATATACTACGGTGGTCTGGGACAGTTCTATGAATATGGGGCGGAAGACTCGCCGCGGGAACCGCGGTATCCGCTTGAGTGGCTTGATCGGCCTGGTGTGAAGATCCCGCGGGGAGGTATTGCGATTTTGCATGGGTTGCAGGATGCGCTTGTGCCGGTGCAGCAGAGTGAGAAGTTTGTTGCGAAGGCGCGGGGGGTCATGAAGGGGAAGCCTGGTGGTGATAGGATTGTTTTGACGCTGCGAGAGGGAGACCAAGAGTGGAGTATTTTTGATATCGTGAATGTACGAGGCCGTGGCATTTTTGACATCACAGAAGACGATCGGATTGACGAGTACACCTCGGAGCCGCCCCTGCGAGAAGACGACGTGACCCACCTGCTATACACGCCGCTGCCTACCGATTTGCCGACGATGAACAAGGACCTTCTTATCCTCATGGCAGCATATTACGGTAATATTGAATGGTATGCCCGCCTGCGTCGGCCTAACACTTGGATAGTAGGCGAGCTAAGTTGTGTCGTGCGCGGCATCTACCACAATACCATGTTCGCCAAATGGTGGACCCTTCAACCTGGAAGAGAGCCATATCAGATTGAGCAAGCGATCAATGCGCGCTTCATCATGAACAATGACCTTTCTCGCATCACTCCAGAAACCAGATGCCTCCCATACTGCATCTGGTACCCTTCCTTTCCCCATGTCACGACTTGCAAAGAGCTCGTGCGGCGCGTGCCGTCCATGAAACCGGCTGTGGCAAGAGTCTGCATTCTGCAAGATTACAGCGAATACTGGGACGAGCTTGATGCCGATCCAGATTCGAACCTGATGGTTGACGCTCGCCAAAGTTCGAATCCAAAGTACCTCCGCGATCTCGAAGCAAGGATTCCAGAACGCGGGTGCCGCGATCTCACAAACAGGCAGCACTACTGCATTCGGCCTCGGGCAGCTCTGTTCGAATACACAACGACTTTCCTCTATCACAATGTCTGGGACAATCCGGATGTGTACTGCGAAGCTGGCGTACCTTACAATGGGAGATTTGCCTGCATGGCGCATATCGAGCTGAGCGTCTGTGTGTCAGATGAACTGAAGAAGATAGCTCTTGAGGATATAAGGGAAACCGGAGGGCCTTTCTGCCTGGAGGAGTATTACGACTCTTTGGGGGAGAATAGACATTCTACTGGATCCAACGAGTCCTAGAAAGTCACGTTTGATCTCATGAGAATGTATGTGGAAGTACTGGTGATGTCTCCCGGACGTCCCATGGTCATTGACCAATGGTAGTGGTCAAGGATGGCCGATCCTGTGAGTTGATAACTGCAGGTACAATCGAGGATCTCTATTTGAGCAATAGCCCTGGCAATCTGTTGAGCATTACAGCAAATGAAGTCAATAGCGAGATGGTATACCCTTGAAACATGTGGCGATCCGTCTCTGTTTGTCCAAATTATCGGACACTCGCTATCCTATTTGTTATTCCCCTTCCATTTGTCTAATGTCCTTTGAAAGAAATAAAGGGAAGAGCCTGGGTATTACGGTATGGCCGATATTCGCCAGTCCAAGCAATGTTCAACGACCATGTCTTGAACAGGCCGCAAGCCGCCATTAGCACTGACCCGAATACCGAGTGACTTGAGAGAGTATCGCAGAGCCAGGCACTCTGAAGAAACTGTCTTCTTTTAAATAGTAGACGCTTTACACCATTTTGTTCCAAGAACAACTTTTGAGCTCTGTTCCATCTGTAGACTCTACGCAGTACGGAGTAGGAAAGGCTGGAATTGGGTACTCGACGTTCGAGGATTTGGAGCAGCCCAGGCACGCAAACTGGACTCACAAGATCTCCTGCTGGTTGTCTGTGGTCTGTTGAGTGGGTCTAGCTCGGCTATCAGAAAAAAATCCCCGAGCTCGGGTTCACGAACCATGATGCCGGAGTGGGCGACACCGGAGGAATACGTTTCTATTGCATAATATCCCCAGTTTTTGACTTTAGCGTGCCCTAGCGTCGCGTGGTAAGTGTCTTAGTCCCACTCTCGCTTCCCTGAGAGATAGGAAAAATGTACTTCCCCGGGCGTGGTGTAATCCTCTGAGTCATATATGATCTAAGCTATATTAACTAGGTCATATCTAAATAAAATGCCGCGAATCTGAACTGCGGCAATACTTCAGCAGTTGGCAACATGTCTACCACTACGACTGCGACGATCACGCCCATCAACTCTCTCGTATTGGAAGCGACGAATCTTCGGTCCCCAGAAAATGTCCGGCCAAAGTCCCCAGAATCGCAGTTGCGAAAGGTCGTTGTACTCAGCCAACTTTTTGCGGTGACTCTAACAGCCAGCGTGATCAATGGGCTCGTCATTGTCGGTCTGCCAACTATCACCAAGGATCTCCAACTTCCCCCTTCTCTATCTTTCTGGCCTTCATCGGTGAATAGCCTCGCGACCGCCTCCACCCTTCTCTTGGCGGGCTCCCTGGCAGACACTGTCGGTCCACGATGGGTTGAACTCGTCGGCTCCTTTGCCAGTGGCGCATTGATGATCGGTCAAGGCGTGGCTCGGACTGGACAGGAGTTGGTGGTTTTGAGGGCACTCCAGGGTGTCGGTCTCGCGATGCACTTGGCCTCTTCGATCTCTATCGTGACGCAGCTTCTGCCTCCAGGAAGAAGCCGCAATGTCGCTTTCTCGTGCTTGGGGGTCAGCCAACCCCTTGGATTTTCTTTAGGCCTGGTGGTCGGGGGCGTCCTGGTCGATACCATCGGCTGGAGGTCGGGGTGGTTTCTTTCTGGCGGTATCACGCTTGTATTCTCGGTTGCCGGTCTCTGGGCTTTGCCTCGGAGTAAAAGCACCCAATACTCAGATCTTCTTCACAACATCAGGACTAAAATCGACTGGGTTGGTGCTGGGCTGGCCTCCGCATTCATGGCATTGCTCTGTTATCTCCTGGCGTAGGTCATCCCGCCCATGACATCGTTCGAAGGTTAACCGGTAATAGTATTCTAAGCGCTGACCCCTCACGGATCAAATCTGCCGATAGCATCGTCATTCTATGCCTGGCTGCCCTTGCCCTTCCGTCGTTTATCGGCTGGGTCCACTACCAAGTCAAAAGGAACAAGCCAGCTCTCATTCCCAATGCACTGTGGAAGAACGTAGCCTTTTCCAGCATCTGCGCTACCCTCGCCATCTCAACCACAGTCGTCAATTCAATGGAGCTCTTTGCCAGCTTATTGTAAGCCTTCCCTCCTCTCCCCTGTAGCCCATCCCATTAACCCGGCCCAGTTTCCAAGAAGTCCAAGGCCTATCAGCGCTGGAAGCATCCATCCGCATCCTCCCCAGTCTCGTCGTCGGCGTCCTTCTGAACCTCGTAATCGGCGTGTTCGTGCACAAAGTCCCCGCATTCTGGATCGCAACGGTCACCTCCCTCCTCTGCGCCGGATCTCCCTTACTCATGGCCGTTATCCAGCCGTCCTGGCCTTACTGGGGCAACGCCTTCGTCGCGCAGCTCTTGCAGGCGGTCAGCTTCAACGCGCTCTACACCATCGGCCTAATCATTATTACGAATAGTTTCCCAGATGACACGCAGGCCCTGGCCGGAGCTGTCTTCAACACGGCTGCGCAGTTCGGGAGTGCCCTGGGACTGGCGATTCTGCAGGTTATCTCGACGGTTGTGACGGAGGAGTCGGCCGCTGATGAGACTGGTGCGCTTATGGCTGGATACCGCGCCAGTTTCTGGACGATGTTTGGGTTTATGATTCTTTGCACCCTTCTCGGGTACTTTGGGCTGCGGAAGGCTGGTAAGGTTGGCTTGAAACGGGATTGAGTGACTTGCCTTGTAAGCCTGGGTGTTCCAGCTCACTGCTGGCTGTTATGTACCAGGACTTACTGCAGTACGTCGCTACTGGAACTAAGGATAAAGCCTACACCTGGTTGTGTGGACCGGGGTGATATTGTGAGTAACATGCCGTGGCTGAGCCATGACATGTCTTTCGCTAAAAAGCATTGTGAAATTCTTGAGATATGACGTAGACATAGATGAATCATATATAGAGTCTGGATATGGGATCCGATATAGGCATGAGCACCACAAGCGGGATCTTTGTAGCTGAATGCCTTTTTTTGCTCCGAGCTTTTGGACAAACATAAAGTTGCGTGGGGCGCAAACGGTTATCACTTCGTAGCCAGACCTAATGTTAGGCCCTTCAGTCAGCGCATTTCGTTCGGGTAAGTTCAGTTAGGGCTACAGACAATGCCGCAATTTGAATGGCGAGGCTCCCAGTAGCGGTACTACCCCCGTAGATTAAGACTGGAACTCCGCAAGATTCGGACGGTGGGAGCTGCAGTCTTAGAATCTGATACAGTGCTTGGCCCACTGTGGTCAATCCGACTCCCAGTGTAGCCGCTTCCTCGTCACTTAGATCATCGGGGATTCTCATTTGCAGGTCCCCCTTTGCAACGGCGTATTCTTAGCCGTAAAACTCGTCAGCATCGTTGATCCGGTATTTACTGTGCAAATGCTAGGACTCACCCGCAAAGCACCCATCCTCGAGTTCAGTTGCATTACAGCCATGCACGAATGCCGCAAGACGGTCTCCCTTTTGCCAATGTTTGCTGACAGCTGGTCCCACCTCTTCAACTACCCCGGAAAAGTCGCATCCGGACGTGGCTCCAGGAACTGGGACCAAGTCTATGTGTTTCCTGCATGTGTAGAGACTTGGTCAGATTCTGGAAATCAGACATACTCTCAACGGGTGTTAGCTAATAACGTACCAGTCCGTTAGATTGATTGCTACGTGCCGCACTTTGCACAAGACATAGTCGCCACGTAGTCGTGGCAAGGGTACAGCCTGAATCTCCACATTTCCATGACCAGTCACTTTGATCGCCTTCATCATACTCATGTTGACTGGGGGGAAGGAGTGGGGTTGACCTTTAGTTGAGATATACTGGCGCTTTGTTGTCTGCTCGTTGAACACCAATACGGCTTTGGTGGGTAGATACAAATGAATGAGGGTCCTTATAATACATTCATTGCGTGTCCTACAGCCTAATGGCGGCCACCCCGTTGCGTTTGATGCAAAACTCGGCCCGAGCAAGGCATTTTAAGGGCGCTTATCCAGCTCGGTGCCTCCAGCCAGCGAACATATCCAAGTGCCTACAGCACATTATGCGATATGTCGTCATCGGTTCACGTTTGGATTGGGAGTAAGGCCTAGCTGGTGTTGCAGGGGTAGCCAGTTTTCTTTATGTGACTGGAAGAGACGCAAAGTTGGAGTCTTCTCTAATCAGAGAACTATGATTACGATATCTAGGGTCCTTCTAAACCTTCTGTGATCCTGCATTTACTCGGCAGCGTTAGTGTCCAGGTTCTATAATAGAGAACAACGCCCAGCGCCACATGCAAATCCTAGCAAAACCCCGAAAACATGATAATTGAAGATACGACAGATTGGCTCCATAACAAGACTGCATATATCCTCTTTCCCCCTCGTGCCTGGCTAGGTGGGTGCGTCTTAGAGATTGAACCATCAGGCGGCCTTGCTTCCATGGTCCGCATGCGACAGTCTCACCATGGGGATAACCGCGGGGACGGCCGGAATCCGCGCTTTGAACTCGCGCTCGATCTCCGATAGGGTCTTTCCCTTTGTTTCGACCATATAAAAGAAGCTTACAACGGTCGCAACGGCAGTGCAGCCACCGAAGAGAAAATAGGCGCTTGGGATGCTTTTGTCCAGGAGAATCGGGCAGACAAAGGCGACGAAGAAATTGCAGACCCAGTTCGCGCCTGTTAGAAATCAATTAGCTAAAAAAAAAGAGAAGAGAACAGGGTAGAGGGGTGTGTAGGACAAACCATAAGCGAGACTGATCGCCTGAGCACGCGTGTGCTGGGGTTGAATTTCTGGTGCCCACACCTTGATACTGATGCCCCAGGTTGTAGCTTGCACAATGCAGTACAGGTAGATGGAGACGATGACTACCCAACGACCAGCCCCGTGCGTGGAGAAAACCGCATGGCCGGCGTAGAGGCTGCCAATGAGAATCATAAGCGCCGTCAAGCCCACTCCTCCTACCAGGGTGCTGGTGCGACGGCCCCATTTATCAGCCAGCAGCGTTGCAGGAATGCTCGAGGCTACAATTACAATTGCAGACACGCCAGATGCCTGGCCCGACAAGTATATTAGCGATATTGTGTCTCTTTCTCTGAATAAAATAGAGGAGACAGCTTGGAAGTACTGACCAGGAATGAGGCTTCATGAGTTTCCAGACCAGCCTGTTGGAATAGTAGCGGCGCGTAATAGAGTACAGCATCGATGCCGCATAGCTGGAGGAAACCCATCAAAAACACTGCCAAAATGTCTGCTTCCGCACCTCCCGAGTCCATAGACTTCGAAAGCTGACATGTGGTTTGCCTTCTCCCGTTGCAGGTGGATTTGACTGTGATGATGAGCCCGGTATAACAGAGTTGAATCAGCGATCGCAGCACGATCATCAACCTCCCGATCCTCGTGCCTAACCTCCAAGGCATCCCACACCTTCTCGGCGGCTCGAAAATTGCGACGTCGAATCAGCCACCGAGGAGATTCCGGCAGGAGAAACAGATTGATCAGCAGGTAGAACAAGGCCATCACGGCAGTGACGATGAATGGCAGTCGCCATGAAAGCGAGCCTGGTATATTGACTGTACCATAGCTGATAAAGTACCCGGCTACCAGCGCAACGCATGTCATGAATTGCGGGCCAGAGGTGAGGGGTCCTCGGGCTTTCGGTGGTGCAATCTCACAGATATAGACGGTCTGCGTGCTGAAGTAGAGGCCGTAGCCGATGCCCTCGATGACTCTTCCTACGGCAAACATTGAGAGCTCTGATGCGGCGGCCTCCAGTACTGTTCCGACGGTGAAGACTGCTGCGCCGAACGCCATTGCTTTTGGGCGGCCCAGACGGTCCGCGAGTCTGCCAGCGAACAGAGAGCCGAAGGCGGCACAGAGCAGAATACAAGAAACGAGAATACCGTGAACGGCTGAAGAGTGTTGCCCAAATTGATTGATGAAGCTCTCCATGACGGTGACAGGTCCGATGATGCTAGTGTCCATTCTGTCATGACGATGACATTGTTAGTAGAAAGTCGGTTCAACGGATTCAAGGAGCAACAGACCCCAGTAAGAAGCCCCCAAAGGAGCAAAGCACACTGGAAACGGTGTACTTTGCCGGCCAGATAAGAGAGCATGGCAAGGATCGAAGGCTGTGTATCATTTTGATAGGTTGCTGCGGTCGCGTTTGAAAACAAGACGCTGTAAAAATGCTTGAAATTCTCGGTTGATCGGGATCGACTTGAGGATTCAGTTATATCCTCATAATGACCACCTCTCAGTGAATTTGAATGATTATCAATGTAAGGACTCATACGTCACCCAGCCAGCCAGCCACTTTATACGAGTGAAGTGGGGTTAAAGCTTGTAAGTGCTGCGTGGGAGTCACTGTTTCTTTGTCCTTCTATCCCTGACTGACAAATAGGAGCATCATAGAGCTGTGATAACCCCTGCTAGTGGCACCACCTCCAACTTATTTTCCACCCCCTGTATGGAGTAGGCTGTGATGGTAGCCTAGTCTTTTATGGACCGTGCTTGGCAGGACTTTTGGCTGACACGCGTGTACCAAGCTTATTCAAGTACCTCACGCGTGTCTTTTGCTTCTTTTAGACAACACTACTTATGAGATGTAAAGAGCAAATAATGAATCTAATTTTCGTCTGATACATCGCTTGCAATTGCAAGGTCGGACAGACCAAAACTGGCTTTAGTCATGGCGACCGGTGCAGGCATCTGGATAACACATAGACACTTGGGATCAATGTCCCCATTCGAAGCCCTAGAGACAGATATAAAATTGATCCAAATTTCCAAAAGACAGGCACAGACAACAGAATGTCTCTTCTTGAGCGCACGCAGAAATCGTCCCTCCAGTGAACGATCCTCATCATGATCTGTCCTTCAAAGCAATGTTGCTAGTCCTGTTATTTTTCATATCTATGGCCCCCGCGCTATTCTGGCTCTTCATCGTCTAATTGCGGGACGAGAAGGGTCTTCGCAAGTACCCAAAGCAAAATTGGGCATCCGGGCTGACCGCTCTTGCGTATGGATGGGAATGCGGACGTCCTCGTCGGGACATTCATAGCAAGCGGCTGCACGCGGCCCTGCAGAAGTATCCCATTGTACGCATCGCACCAAACTGGCTGGCCTTTGGCCGTTCCCAGGCGGCAAGGGATATCTATGGCTATAACTCCAAGTGCGTCAAGGCCGCCACGTACGATCTTCTCTCGCAGGGAGGGGCCAACCTGAACAATATCAGCGACAAGAGATTCCACTCGTCACGGCGCCGCATGGTGGCACCGAAGAATATTCAGGAATGGGAACCGAAGGTTGCCGTGTCGGTTGCAGACTTGATGAATCAAATAGATGCACGATGCGCGGAAGACCAGGGAGTTGTTGTTGAACCCTCCTCTTTCGACGCCGTCCACTGGATCTTTCTATTTTCCGTGGAGACTGTGATTAAGATCATGCTTAGCAAGGATGTTTTTTTCCTGCGCAACGGGACTGATCATGTTTACTTTCAAGATGAGAATGGCCTGCCGCAAGCGGTGCAGTCCATTCATAACAGTCATGCCTCGCAGCGGGCTGCTGCTACTGTCATTTGTATGTTGTTTTCAGATCATAAAGACTTTAGAGGTGAATTGAGCTAACAACAGACGACTGACATAGGGGACATTCAAAGGTTTGCTTTATGGATTCGACTGACCAAGATGGTCTCAAAACGCTATGCGGATAATTGGGCTGCCGGTCCAAAGTTCCATGCGGCCATGGAGGCACTCACCAAAGAGCGAATCGAGCAATATTCCAATGGAGAAAGGTTCAGTGACTTGTTCCAACCCATGCTGGAGGATAAGCATGGCGAAGCATCGGAAATCACGTTGAAGGATCGCATTGCAGAAGTTGAGCAAGCTGGTAAGCCACGGCGACTGAGTTTACCATGAGAAGCTTTTCTGCTAATACCGATAAAGTTGGTGCTGGGACCGACGGCCCGGTAGGTTTTGTCTGATTTGGTGCTGTGAATTGTTCCCCTGACAGATCGCTCGCTGATCAAATAAAAATCCAGGCTGTCTCAATCTCTATGACTCTTTATTACTTGATCCGTAACCCGCACACTTTCGCCGCACTTCGAAAAGAGCTAGATACTGTGTTATCGACGGAAGATTCCGTCGCACCCTGGGGGAAGGTGAAGTCCCTACCTTTTCTGCGAGCTTGCATTGACGAGGCAATGCGCCTGGCGCCTCCTGTCGCAACAGAGCTGATCCGGCGCACGCCACCCGATCGCCATGTCATAATTGATGGCCACCTTATTCCTCCCGACACCAACGTCTCAATCGCTGCCTACACATCTCATCGTGATCCGCAGGTCTTCCCAGACCCGGAGACCTACAATCCAGATCGATGGATGGCTAAGGGCTCGGACAATTTACGCAATATGCTGGGAATGTTTATCCCGTTTAGTGCCGGTACGCGGGGCTGCATCGGCCGCAATGTTTCCATCCTGATGCAATCGGTGTGCGTGGCAACGCTTGTATATCATTATGACTTTGCACTGCCGCATGAGAACTGGGAAATGGAGTTCGAAGAATGGTTCAGTCTTTGGCCACTGAGACTCCCTTTGGGTGTTCGGCGCCGAGAACCAGCCTCCTTCCCTCAAGCTTGAAAATCCGAAGAGTCAAGATGGGAAAATGGAAAAATTGAGCCGCATGGAATATATGTTACGACTTTCACTTATACTCGACTATACTGGTGACTCTTGGACTATTTCCCTATCAAGCACATACTGTGTTGTCCTTTTTATATCGGTCATTTCGATTCTCGGGTCGTCCTACTGCATCATTCGTTCAAGAGAATATCTTTTGTCTTGCGTACTGTATCCGATGTCTCTTTCTATGGTACTCAGTAGTAAATAGCAACGCATCCTGCTCGGAACATCCTCAATATACTTTCCCGCTTGAATTTGTTAGCATGGGCGAAAAATATGTGCAGTCTTTTCGACGAGTCCACAGGCTTACCGAGGTATATTGGGGTAACGGCAAAACAACGAACACAGGCAGGTAACTCTGAGGAGGCAATCGTAATGATGGACATGGCATGCTTATTCACCTTGAAGTTTTATATCCTGTGTGAGTTTGTGCTGTTGTAGAGAGGAGTGAGGAATTGCGAGGCACCCACCAGCGGTTCATTTGACGAGCCGGAACCTTCAAGTTCTTCCCATCCTACAAGGAGCAGAAGTTGGGCCGCATGAAACCACAACATTGCTCCGGCTGTCCTGATGTCAGTATCCAGATTTTCAAGGGCAGGAATCGGAATTGCCCCGTAGCTCACCTGATAGTGGCACAGGGAAGAAGATTTTCGGCATTCCGTTCTCGGATACATCACCATACTCTATGCCTCTGAATTCTTCAGTGGTGCTGTCGTACCACTCATCCACCTGAATTTTCAGTCTTTCTCGGTCAACTGGCGACACATTATTTTGGTATATGAGATTTACAATATGGCCAAGTAACAACATTAAATAGTTTGCGACACGATCTTCGGCAGCGCTTGGCCCTGGTTTAGTGATATTCCATCTTCCTGGGTCGAATTGGGGGGGCACCTCGTTGCTAATAGCGATTGTAATCTCATGGCGTACATAAATGAAAAAGTTGGCTTTGTCCATCCCCATGGAGCTGGCAGAGATTCCCTGGGTGACGATCAAGTTCACAGCCCCTTTATAGTGGGACTGATGCGATGTCCTAGACGCTGCCAAAGCCTCATAACTACTTAGTAAGATAGCGGCGGTCAGTGCATCACTGTCTGGCACTCTACTATTTAGCGCTGCGATCATATAGTTAAGTGCCTAGATGTTCTCGATCAATAAGGACATGTAAGCGTAGAGTCGCGAGAGGGAGATTGGGCCAGAAAACGTACCTCGCCGTAGTAGCGGGAGGCGATCGGGAACCAGAGCTCGCCGGAGACAAGCATCGAAAGATGTCGGGCAGTGAAGGCGCAGATGCAGCGGAGCAGGAAATTCGAGTGTAGAGCACGTCTGGTGACTTCCCTTTCGTATGTTCTGTCATGGTCGAATACGTCCATCCATGTGGTCAGGCCGCCACGGAACGTGTTGAACAGAAAGGCGATCTCATCGTTCAACTCGACAAATATACCAGAAGGAAAGGGACGCAACTGCGATCGACATGATTGGGTTGTTGCACTCCCTCGATTGCCAGTCGTCAAGGAGCTAGACGGCTCGCTGCTACTCCCTTTGGACGTTTCCCGGGCAGCCGATGGGCAAGGCAAGGCCAGGATCTTGTTGGGGGTGGACGCTGATTTGATTTCATTTCCAGAAGCTGACTCGGTGGATAGAATGCTGCTCCACGTTGACTGGGTAATAAGCTCGGACGGGCGGCATTGCAGACCGAGACGCTGGCAATTAGAACATACGGGGGTCTTCTCATCGCACCGCGTGTGTCTGGCTTTACAGGTCGCGCTACCATTCTCAGTGCACTGCAGCCACAATAGGTACATGACTTACCATCCTACGCTCGCAGTCAGCCAGTGTGTTTCGCATTAACAAACTATCTCTATGATAGGATGATTCCAAACCTGTTCTCTTCCGAGCACTGCCGCGTCTACTTCGCCTTTGGGCGGCATTTGTAGTTCTGTCCGGTTCCATCTGCTGATTTGTGAGTCCAAGAAGATGGTGAAGGAAGTGGGCTGTGCCTCCCCAGAGGTAGTAGGAAATTCGAATGACGAAGCTCATCCGTAGACGTCAAAACCGGCAATTAGGTACATATGATTCCAGCTCAATTATCCCTGCACTTAGTCATACTCCATTAACTGTTTACTAACGAGTTAGTATAGTGGCTATTGAGTTACAGGTTCGTGCTCGTTCTCCAGTCGCACCTGGAGTCGCTTGTCTACCTACTTCCTAATAGGTCCCTTTCCCCGCACCCGCCTCATCTTTTCCACGAAGCTTCGTACAAAGTAACCGCAATTGGCTAGTTGATCTCCATTGGATAGGCTCAAGGTATCTCCGCAGGTGGAGGTAGTATCTCATCCATATATTACCCAGGTACCTGACCCATGTCGGACCACTGATCTTCACTGGCTCACCCATCTGACCTCACTAGGCACGGGATGCCTATCTAGTAGAATCCGGCCAGGAAGATTTAAGCCAGTGCCCAGTGCCTACATGGGCTCGGTAGAAATTCGGTCTTTTGTGGTTTTCATTCGCTACACCGCCCAAGAATAACCATAACTTCAATTAGAACTAACTATATGTTCCTCCTTTTTATACCACTATCTGGAGGAATGCAGATTTTCGTATACCCAAGTGATGGGGATCAAACATTGTTGCTAGGATGCATCAAACGCCAATAGCGCGCACAAAAGCTGGACGTCAGCGGTGTTGTCGTTGATTTTTCAATGTTATATGAATCATTGCCCCAGCGATGTTGGCATTTGACTTTTTCCGAAAGTGATCAACATACGCATGGCATCTAACATGCATCAACCTCGGGGTGATCTGTACGTCCCTGTGTCATTCGGGCAATTTACAGAGTAGATATCCAAGCAAACTTGGAAGCGGCTGCATGCATGACAAGAGGGGTTCGATATTGGAAGTAGCTAGTACTAATGACTCAGGATACTTCGGCGTAACCCGAAAATACAGTATTAGGCTGATACAAACTGATGTTACTATAAAAGATTGTCTAGGTAGAGCAACATGGCATCTGATATTTTTCTTTTCCTCTGACGCATGCCTGCAGTGTTCGATAAAGGTGATTGGATCCCTACAGAGGAAGAAGATCAAGTGCTTCAAACGTGCAAATGTTCCAAAGCCTTCTGTATCGGATATATTTTCCAAGGCAACAAGAGATGTGTACCTAAATGGGTAGTATAGTAGTAGCGGGCTTCCACATCTATGACGCGTCAGAGAAAGTGATTAAGCCAGCCAATTACGTGGGAGATTTATATGTATTTCCGCCCGTCTTATTTACCTGCTAGTTAAGTACTACTAGGGACTGTACTCGGTACAGGGGTAGTAGACCTGGGTCAATCCGGGTCCTAGCATATTCATCGCAGCCCCGGGCTATGTTAAATTCATCCCTAATACTCCGTAGACCGTTACGTATACCCGCCAATACCAGTGCAACATGTCTGCCTATGCCATAGCCCATGTGCTAGCCCAAGGTCAAGGTTTTATCCGGCTGCACGAGGTTCCCTGGCATATACTGGGATCCGGAATCCTTCCGGATTGCGAACCCCACTCCGCCTCCGGCACTCCGCAGCAATCATGGCCTGGAGACCTTGATTTGCTTCGGAAAACGCCACCAACGCAAGCATGCAGTATCTCCGAGTCTTCTTGTATTTTAACAAGTGGTGGTCTCGGAATTGCCGCCTAATCACGAAGATGATATGGAACGATCACACGATAGGGGCTTGGAATCGTCCCCTCACAAGCCTGTCAGTGCTTGTGCTTTTGTCATTATGCATAGGCCAAACCGTCCATATCGCTCCCGTTTCGCTGAGGCATTTAAGCAAACATAATCCTTGCGACGAAGCTGCCCTAATGCTCTTGGAGGATAGCTAACATCACCAATATTATGAAAAAGGAAACTCAATCTCGTCTACTTTTCCAGGCTGAGGTGGGATGTACAAGGAATATCAATTCTACCTTTGTTAGGACATCAAAAGATTAAGACCGGGGTTTCTATGGATAGCTTGGGGTAGATATAAGATTGCGTACGAAGGTTGGGAGGAAAGGCACTGGGTAGATTTTCCCGGGCTTAATAAATACAAGAAGCAAGTCTGCTGGAACTAGTTCAATGCAAAACCTTGCCAGTAACGCGTTATCACTCCATGGCGTCTTCACCGGAGAAACAGAAACCCAATCGTCACATCGCCTGCATCCAATGTCGACAACGGAAAGTAAAATGTGACGGCCGACAGCCCTACTGCAAGCATTGGGCGTGGGAATACTCTTACAGCACATCTGCGCCTCGGGGACGAAGGAAACAACATTGCCTGCCTATGTTTACGTGAGTGGGATAGGTGCCTCCAAAGCTAATTGAGCTATGCGTCACAGTACTGTTGAGCCGCGGGTCCCAACCGACATTAGATGGGGCTCAATTGGATACCAGTACGCCCCAAGACGCAGACCCGCAAAATCAATTAACATTAAACGCCCCACTATCTGAGGGAATGTCTTTCGATATGCCAGCGGATCTGCCTACCAGTTCCGAAGCAGTGGGTGGACCATTTCCTGTCGACCTGTATTCCCTCCAAGGCGACATCGGGGACGGCATCGTCAATCCCTCCTACACATCCAGTGGCTGGGAAACTAACGAGTCCTCGTCCCCATCCGAGATACTTCATCAGACGTTGACATTAGATGGTGCATCACCTTTGTCAAACTCACATGTACAGCACCTGTCTTCGAGAACCATTGACATGCTGTAATGTTTTCCCAAGCCCGCATGAAATGTGTCAGTGAGACTAACGCTAGGCAGCCTGACTGTCTATTTCAAATTTGGCCAAAGCGTGTGTCCCCTGTTTCGCGATCAAGGTCACATGCAAACAGCAATCCACGAGATCTCGAACGACAGGGTTGCTGTAAGATACGCAATCTGTGCTCTCGCTGTAACAGCAAACCCTCAATCATCTGCCTGGATCATGCCGGATCCAGGTGCAACCATGTCTCCATCGGTTTATGGTTCGCTTTTCTATCAGGCGACAGCACAACATTTCTTACAGCAAGTCAATCAGACGCAAACTTGTCCAGACGTATCCCTTCGGCTGTTTCAGGCCACCATACTGCTTGCCCTGTAGGAGCTGCACCATGGCGACTTCAGTCGTGCGTGGGTTACAGCAAGTCACGCAGTTTGGATTACCCAAGAACTCCAGCTGCACACCTTAGACTCCAGCCATGTAAGGTGCTCGGTTGACCCCACCAATACAGAAGATGCTCGCATGGCGTTATGGGCAACAATGGGCGTCACTGGCTTTATCTCACTTGGCGGTCGTGCGATGGACCCAATGAGTGTTGCGGAGGTAAGTAAGCATTGGTGCAGAAAACCGCTTGCTTGTCTCAATCGGCAACAGATCAGCACTTGGCTGCCGCGATCACCTGTCGACCAGCTTCTGTCCAACGCGGGCGTCACGGCCAAGAGTGTATTTTAGAAAGCAGTCTCACGCACCCTGGCGATGGAGGAGCATATGTGCTGCCAAAATACTCTTCCCCCGTATCATTTCCCATGTGAAGACTGTCAGTCAACAGGAGGACACCGCCGGCTGCCAACCTTACAGCTTCTGGACAAACCACCATAAACTACACCACCTTGTAAGCAATATTTTTCACTACACTGAGGCTGAGAACAAAGCAAAGTCAGTTTTGGATATTGTTCTCAATGCCATGTTGACAGTTCTTCATGAAGCACTGATTAGAAAGGCATTCATTTCGACACAATTATTGTCCGACACAATGAAGAATGCAGAGGAAGCAGCTCTCCAGCATTCCCTCCAAATTGCCAAAATAGTAGAGACCAGTGTTCTTTCTGAGGACTCTTGGGCTCGCATCGCTGTTCCGTGGGCGGTATATGTGGCACTGCAGTCTCTCAAGCAGCGCCGAAGTAGGAGATCTTTGCAGTACAAGGTGCTTCAGAAGGATTCCACCAGCATTTTCGAGAGCTCATTAGACGAGCTCGTCTCGCCGTATCCAAGCGCGTTTCAGCCACCGGAGCCAGATTTTCTGGTGGATGCTCTTGTGCTGGATTCAGTCAATGCTCTCTAGTCAACATTGTCGGACTGGGGTAATGATGTGCCTCTGGCAACCTTTCTTTCAGCCTAAGTAAATCCAGTGAGTGGAGGCTCAGACGTCACTTCTAATGATAGCGTGGTAGGGCTGATTGACTTCACTGCCTCGTCACCGGTCGCATCATGAGCCTCGGCCAAAGCTCTGCTGCTGCTGCTGTTATTATTGTTGTTTATTGTTATGAATATGGCTAAGCGCTCGGAGTTAAGAGTAGTTGATATTCCGCTGGTGAGGGGCTAACAAGCTCTTCTCCAAAAATGCTGCATTCTGTCTCCATATCTCCTGGGACTCAAGTAGATAGGAAAATGCCCACTGAAGGGAACCTCCACCAACTCAGTTCCCCTTCCCATCAACTCGCTAAGATACGACGAGCCCCTGTTCCGCTCGCCAAACATGAACATCCTCGGACACGGCAGCACCAGGAACTTCTCCTTTAACCTCCCTCATCGGACAACTTCGCCACCGAAGCGAAAACCCCTCTCACAGCCCCAACACAGACTCGCGCACGCAGACAAGCGCCATACGGCCCTTTCAAGCGACGAAGAGTGACACTTTCACAATCAAGTACACCAGAAACTCCTCATCCGAGGCCCACAGGTGCGTGGAGATCTGCCAACTCAGGAAACCATCTCCCCGCGCGCGGTTGCCCTTGACACTGATGATGCTGAGGATACCGGCTGGTTCGGCATGTGGTAGCATCACTGCCGTGAGACAGCCCATTGAGTGGCCGACGAGGTGGAACTGAGTTAGCCCTAGTGTCACCGCAGCCTACGCGGTAGAGACCAGCAAGGGGACCGAGGCTTTGAAGAGATCCGATGATGAAGATTCCGCGGATCGTGGGGTGTCAAGGAGAGCTGGACATTGCTGGTGGTGAGGTCGAGGGTTTCATAAAGCCTTATTATGATTCAGCGCGGATTGTTGATAAGACGCGGATAATTAGAACGATATATTCAAAGGCGGCGTGTATCGAGATTGATGTTGATCGAAATGATCGACACGACGGGATCGGTGACATCGGCCAAATGTGGTCACACCGAGGCCGAACCGGTTATGGCGGAAGAACAGGATCATCATAGCTTATTTTGGATCATCCAGCGCCTTGAATGAAGTATATTCAAGCCAATAATGAGGAAGACTACTGAAGGGTGTCGCGATGCCGAGGTGTCTCCTTTTGACCCACAGCAAAGTTTAGCGGGCCATGACATCATCGGGTGAGGCCACCGCATCGGGAGACTCCAAGATCTTTATGTCTCAAGAGTCAAGATACCAGTTGCGCTTTACTCTCTCATGAAGTTTCTCAGTCTATTACTCCTTAAACCGGGGATCTTGATTCCCCCCAGGACGCGATGCCTCCGCAACAACCCACTGGTGGAATCACGACGGCCGACTGGCCGCAAGAGGCCCTCAGCGACCCGGCGTCGGCGGACCGTCGTCACAAACCCATGCTGGACCATGGGATGAACACGGGGGTGCGGGTGACGGGTATGAGTGCTGTATCAGCGGATAAGTAGCAAAGCTGATGTGATTGCTCCAGACGACGGACGACTCGAGATCAAGTTCCGCGGCCGAAAATCCAGCCTCACGAACCTCCTCAAACACCTGGAAAAGCCACACAAACCAACCTCGGAAGACGTACGAAGAGCATCCTTTCCCCTGCCCTCTATTGAGAAACTAGAGCACTTCCCGCTCCGCCTCAACATCGTCATCCAAGTGGTCGGATCGCGCGGCGACGTACAGCCCTTCGTCGCACTCGGCATGGCCCTCAAAGAACGGGGCCACCGCGTCCGACTCGCAACACACCTGGCGTTCCGCGACTTCGTCCAGGACCACGGTCTCGAATTCTTCAACATTGGCGGCGATCCGGCCGAGCTCATGGCGTTCATGGTGAAGAACCCCGGTCTGCTGCCGGGGATGAAAACGCTGCGCAGCGGGGCGATCCGGCGCCGGCGGAGGGAAATGGCGGCGATATTCTCCGGCTGTTGGCGATCATGTTTTGAGACAGGCGATGGGACGGGACTGCACCATGTCCCCGAGGATCCGTGGAGCGAGACGGTGGACTACCGGCAGCAGCCGTTCGTGGCGGACGCGATCATCGCCAACCCGCCGAGTTTTGCGCATATCAGCTGTGCGGAGAAATTGGGCGTACCCTTGACTCTCATGTTTACGATGCCCTGGACGGCCACACAGGCCTTTCCGCATCCGCTGGCCAACGTGCGTCCGACGCGTACGAAGCGCTCCGTCGCGAATTTCGCCTCGTATGCAATTGTCGAGATGATGCTTTATGAGGGATTGGGAGATCTGCTGAATAAATTCCGCAAGCGAGAGTTGGGGCTGGATCCGTTGGACGCCATTCGCGGGCCGGGGATCGCTCAGAGGCTTCGCATTCCGTTCACTTATCTCTGGTGGGTAGCCTCATTTGTATGCACTTTAAATACTGACATTAGCAGGTCACCGGCTCTGCTCCCCAAACCGGTCGACTGGCTAACCAATGTCGACATCTGCGGCTTCAGCATGCTCCCTGCCCCAAGCAGCTACACGCCGCCCGACGACCTGGTCAAGTTTCTGCAAGACGGTCCCCCACCGATCTATGTCGGCTTCGGCTCCATCGTCGTCGATAGCCCGACCAAACTGACCAAGATTGTCTTCGAGGCAATCGTCAAAACCGGCCAGCGCGCACTCGTCAACAAAGGCTGGGGCAACATCGGCGCAGGGGAAGCCGAAATCCCCAAGAACGTGTTCATGGTCGGCAGCTGTCCGCACGACTGGCTCTTCAAGCACGTCTCATGCGTGGTCCATCACGGCGGAGCAGGAACGACAGCAGCCGGGCTCGCGCTCGGCCGACCGACCATCATCATCCCCTTTTTCGGCGACCAGCCCTTCTGGGGCTCGATAGTGTACCGAGCTGGTGCAGGCCCGGCACCCATCCCATATAAACAGCTGAACGCGGAGAAGCTCGCCGACGCGATCAACAAGGCACTCGGGCCGGAGATGCAAGAGAAAGCAGGCGAGATCGGCGCGAAGATGCGACAGGAGAATGGAGTCAAATGCGCGGTGGCCAGTTTCCACCGGCACCTGGACCTGGAGACGCTGCGCTGCTCGATCTGTCCGCAGCGCCCGGCTGTATGGTGGGTGCGCCACTCTCACATCAAGCTGAGCACGTTTGCAGCGACTGTGCTCGTCGAGGCGGGGTTCCTCAAGCCGCAGAATGTCGTCCTCTACCGGTCGAAAGAATACGATACGAACCGCGACCCGCGAGGTCCCCTCTCTGCGGGGGCAGAGGTCCTCTACGGCATCATGTCGGATTTTGTGACGGCACTCGCAACGGCGCCAGTGGACCTTGCCGAGGCGATCTCGCGCCATCACCACTACCACAAGAAACATGGGTGGCGTCACAGTCACGACGAGGAGGTCACCTGCGACTGTGAGGCACGGATAGGGAGGAGTATGAAGTTAATGGACGGCATTCCCCCGGAAGACCAGGTGCGGTCGCAGCTGGGCGCTGTGGCGAGTATGCGGCGATCGTCCGATTCACCGATATCGAGTCCTTCCGGTTCTGCAGAGGAGGAAGAGGACGAAGAGGACGAAGAAGACCAGGATGAGGACGACGATGAGGGCGAGCAAGTTGATGGTGAAAGTACGAGCTTTGTCTCTGCTCCCGATCGGATATCCAGGGAGAGCGGGCCGGTGCCAAGAAGTCGAATATCGGACCAGTCCACAGTCCAATCGGATTCTACAGATACGCATGTCGAGAGCGACGAGGACGGTGGTGAACTGGATCTGGAGAAGACGATCAGCCGACGGGCGACAAGGGAGGCGCGGGGAGGTGTACATGTAGTGCTAGCCGAGACTGGCTATCATGGCAAACGGTTTGGCAAGCGACTGTTGAACTGGGCTATTACGATCCCTACCGATGTGACGCTGAGTCTGTCCAAGGGTTTCCACAATGCACCAAAGCTGTACCACGACAGGACGGTGGCCAAAACTCCGACGGTGATGGGCGTGCGGAGCGGGTTGCGAGCCGCTGGAAAGGTTGATACTAGCCTTGATCCTCTCTGTCGAGATTGATTGAAACTAATAGTACAAATAGGAATTCACCCAGGAATTCTACCAAGGCATCACCGGCCTCGTCACACAGCCCGCGCAAGGTCTGGAGAGGTCCGGTCCAATCGGCCTTGTGAAAGGCATCGGCAAAGGTCTTGGGGGAGTCATCCTCAAGCCTACAGCAGGTTTGACTATCCTTTCCCCTCCAGACTGCTTCGTACTGACGATATTAGGATTCTGGGGCTTAGCAGGTTATCCCCTCGACGGCTTGCACAAGAGCCTGCGCAACTCTCTATCAAAAAGCAAAATCAAGGAGATTCTGACATCGCGAATACAGCAGGGGATTGATGAGATGTGCGCGTCTTCGGCTGATGAACGCGCCATGGTGGTGCGGCGGTGGAAAGAGTTACAGGAGATGCACGGGTTGAGAGCGAATGGAAATGAGAATGGGAATGGTCATGCTGAGTGATACCCCGTCCCCCTTGTGGGGTTGTATAATAATTTCTTCTTCATGATTGATATGAGATATGAGCACGGCGATTTCAGGGTGTTGGTTCACGGCGATTATTTGATTTCTTTAAGGCCTACATCAAAATGATTTAGATACAGAACCACGCAAAAAATCACAATCCGGGGCTACACATAGGCGCTGCATGTATACATTAATTTATTATGTCTCTTACAAGCAGATATATTGCTCTTGAGCACGCTTTAGGGTACAATGGACTCTATCAGTTCCTTGAATAGGGTCAACCTCGGACTGAAGACAAGCGAGGCTGCATCAAATAGCGGATACTGATGAAACATTTCCGAAGCCCCAATAACCATGCATGCCCCGTAATGAGTTATGAATACTTTGGCTGGTGGAGTCGGAATTGCCGAAAGCGCCAATAAGGACAATGCCACCGAGTCAAGACTGACAAGCTATAGCAAGCTATGGCAAGCTATGACAAGCTAAACAGAAGCCCCACTCTAGTATATATTAAGCAATTAAACAGTTCATTTCAATTCTCCATGCGAGCAAGCGGTTCTCCGTGGAGTTTGTGGCTTTTGTGCTCCTGAAGCAATCTGAAACAGCCGTTATGCAAGCTAATGACATCCGTGATCCACCTATTTGATATCCATATGGAGTAACTGAGTCAGAGTACATGGCCAAATGGTCCACTCCCGAATATCCATCGTCATCTCGTGACTCAGTTGGTGTATAAAACATATAGATGCCCATTTGTTCCTGGTAACTAGAACAGCACAGGCTTGGTCCTATATCCATTCACTTCCACCCCCTACCTTTCTTCTCTGTGTTTTGTAATCTCGTTAAAGTCACTCATTTGTCTAAGATGAAGCGCGGTGCGCTCCTCGTTCCCTTCGTTCCCCTGGCTCTTGCCTGTGTCGACCCCGGAGACTCCAACCATTCCTGTGCCTCTGTGTTTTCAGTCTCCTCTGCTGCTGCTGCCAGTTTCTGTGCCACGTTCACTGTGAGCGCAGTGACGGAAACTACTGGCGTGCCTGCCGCTCTTCTCAGCAACTGTGACTACAAGACCAAGCATCTGTCAAGCGCCTGTAGCTGTCTGGGTCCTGCGACTGCTGCTGCTCCTACTCAGACCAGTGCTGTTCGTGTCCAAATCGAGTGCATCTAGATAAATGACCTGCTACTGACAAACTCAGGTCACTCCCACGGTTGCTCCCACCACCCTGAAGGCTAATGCTGTGGCTCCCACCACCGAAGCCCCGGCCCCTACCAAGAGCTCCACGTTCGCTGGTAACGGCGGCACCACCTGCACCGTCACCGAGTACGCTGCCATCTCCTCGGCCGTTGCATCCTGCTCGAACATCCTCCTGTCGGATGTCTATGCCCCTCCTTCCAGCACAATCGACCTCCAGAACCTGCAGACCGGCGCTGCCGTGATCTTCGCCGGTACCACAACATTCGGCGACACCCCCGACGACGACTTCGACCCCATCGTCATCTCCGGAACCGATGTGACCATCACCGGAGCGGACGGCCACGTCATCGACGGCAACGGCGCCGCCTACTGGGACGGAAAGGGCTCCAACGGCGGCTCCTCCAAGCCCGACCACTTCATCGTCGCCAAGCACATGTACTACTCGCGCATCGAGAACCTCAACATCCAGAACTGGCCTGTCCACTGCTTCGACATCGAGCACACCGAGAACCTGATCATCTCCGGCATCACGCTGGACAACTCCGCCGGCGACGCACCTAACAGCGCCAGCGGCAGCAAACCGGCCGCCCACAACTCCGACGGCTTCGACATCAAGTCTAGCACCAACCTCACCCTCCAGAACAGCTGGGTGCACAACCAGGACGACTGCGTCGCGGTCTCAAGCGGCACGGACATCGTCGTGGACAACATGTACTGCTACGGCGGCCATGGGCTGAGCATCGGCTCCATCGGTGGCAAGAGCGACAACACCGTCGACGGGGTGACCTTCTCCAACTCGCAGGTTATCAACAGCTCGAATGGATGCAGAATCAAATCAAACTCCGGAACCACCGGTGAGGTCTCCAACATCCGCTACGAGAACATCACCGTCTCCGGCATCACCGACTACGGTATCGATATCCAGCAGGATTACCTGAACGGGGGTCCTACCGGCAAGCCTACCAATGGCGTTAAGATCGAGAACATCACCTTTGTTGATGTCACTGGTACGATGAGCGATGGCAAGGATTACTACATTCTCTGTGGTGATGGCAGCTGCTCTAACTTCGTCTTTGAGAATGTCGGCATCACCGGTGGTAGTGGCGACAGCTGTAACTACCCTACCGATACTTGTCTTGAGGCTTGATTGTACCAAATAGTTGGTGTTCCTAGATAGATCCCACCATCCGCAATCTTCTATGTACATATTAGGCCAGAAACACATTGTGAGAGCTTCAGTGGAAACCACTTTGCTATTCGGAGACATAAGCTGAGATTGAAACTCAGACCACAGCCTTTCTCTCATTATTGGATTGCAGTATACAGACGCCTGAATCTTACAGTGAGATGCTTTATAAATTCAGATTCTAAGTGCTTGATCGGCATGCATATACCCCCTCAATCAAGTGTCCAGCTTTTTATACGATTTATCCCGGCATGCTGTGAACACGACTAAATCAAAAAGCAAAGCAGGTCCTCCGTCATCGTTCACATCTAGGCAACAAGCGCCGAACTCTCCCCTACTGGCTTTTCAACCCGCTTCAGAAGCTATCCCAACTGCGCCGCGATATTTACTACGTACCATGCAGTTCCTGTGTTTTTAAATAGCATCTTCATGCTGACACAGAGGAGTTCTATCATGGAAATGATATGTATCGTACCGAATTATTCTCTCCTGCAAACTATCGGAATGTCACAATGAAATAAACCTAAGGGCCTATGGATATAGTATAGTAGTCCCATGACTCCAAAGTACCAGTGTACATATCTAAAATCATTGGCAAGTACGTCGTGGTCCATTCTTCTGTCATCCATGCACTGTATTGCGCCTTGCGGCCCTCCCAATAAGCAGGAAACCAGCCCGACTGCTCCCAGTCGACAATAGCCAGAATACGATACGGCCGAGAAGAACTGATAACGATGTTACTGCGATGGAGGTCACCATGGGTGAACTTGATGGCACAGTCGTCTGGCAACTCATAGCGATACGGCTCAATCGGTACCGAATAAGGATCCGGCATCGCTCTTCTGCAGAGAAATGTGAACCAATCATGGAACTGTTTCACTGTCGCGAATGGGCCCTCTGCCGGTATGCAATCCAAACCCAGAGCTCTATCATAGATAGGAGCTCGTACAATATTCCCTGTCGGAATGAATTAGGTCAAGCGCAAACATACCGTAGGGCGCTGAAGCATACCCACGAACGGATCCGAAGGGTCCTGCTCAAGGCGACGCAGATTGTCGTATATTTTGCGAAGTTCGCGGGAGATCGAAACCTTATCATCGGGCTCCAATTTCTCCCATGCTTGCTCCAGGGTCTGCCCTCGGATGTACTCCATGTAGATGTATTTTACATCTCCATCTGTGCGCCACCCGTACACCTCGGGAACAGGAACAAGGTCATTCAAAAGCCGGCGGAGAGCAAATAGGGTCTGGGCCTCGGAAATATGCTCTGTGCGTCCCCACTTAACAAGGAGGTCCATGTCTGCAAAGACCGCGGGTTGTGGTTTTATAAAGAAAGGCACGGCGCTTTGGTAGCCTCTCCTAGGGTTGGGGTTGAATCCCGCAAGACGTTGGGCTTCGGATTGGGCTTGGACATCCTTTGGGGAAGGTAGCTCATCCCATTTGCGAAAGAATGATGAGTCTGTGACGTCGAAATTGGGAGAGTTAGGGATCATTGACGGCGTAAGCCGGATGGGCCCTTCGCTGTTAGCCATCCTTGAAAAGGTAGGAAATAGTGCGGGAAGATGTTTGTTTATGTGTACTTGGGTGGGACAAGGCTGAGCCACAAATATACAAAACATTGGCACCTGATCAACTTGCTGAGTCATTCCCTACAACGTCCATGTTGACCTGTCAGTATGAAAACGCGTTATCCCTGATCGCATGGTAGTATTTCTCATCGCGCTTCTCACTGTAGCCTCGATATTCCGCCTTCCATCCCGGCTGTCGAGGAAGTTTTTCTCCGGGCGTCGCTTGTTTCAACATCCTGCATCACCGGTGTAATCGCCGCCTTCGTTGCCGAATACGCCGATGTACCTCATCCCTGCAATACTCGACACATTCACAATTGAGCCCCCAGTCTCCTGCTTCTCCATAATGGGCAGTACAAAATTACACGTCAAATACACGCTCTTGAGATTCACATCAACCTGCTGATCCCATACTTCCTCTGCCGGGCACCCTGGCTCCGATCTGCCCACAGTATTGATGAGGATATCGATTCGGCGTGTTTCTGCATGCAGCTGTCCACCAGCGCCTTGACAGACGCGGCATCAGTAGCCTCTGTTTCTTGGATGTCACATGTGCCGCCGTCAGCCTCTTTCTGGGCCTTTGTTCGCTCGGCCGCGGACAAGCTGCGGTTTCCGCCGAAGATGAAGGCACCGTGTTGCGACAGTTTCGTGGCGATTGCGGCGCCGATACCCCAGCCTTCTGGGGCAGTTTGGCCGATGCTTCCATTTGGCTGTCTGCGGGATTAATTCAATTGCTTGGAACATAGGAAATAATAACCAGTGTTATCTCCGCCGAGATTCATTGGATCTAGCCCTAACTGACCCATTCCAACGGGGATAGTCTTGTGCGATAGTCGAGTTTCATTCTGTTTGACTTCCTTAACTTATCAAAACTCTAATTTGTCCTGGGAAAGATAACTTGCATGGTTCTGTGCCTCTCCGCAAGCGTTCCGTGTCTGTTTGGGCAACGACTCTCCAGTATGATACAGCCGATATGCACTAGAGGACGCTGATCCTTGCTTTCGATTCACAGCCTTGTTTCTAGTGGGCCGGCAGCAAAACAATCCCCCTACATCCGGCAGACTTAGCTGTCTGCTTACAGCGAACATCTTTATCTCCGGTCCCACTACCAGTATGCCGAACCGGTGTGATTATTCAACCAGTAGTTAACTAGCTAGCTTGGTGCGGACCAATTATTAATCAGACCCCTGTGTTGGGCAGATCACAAATCAGAAGCTCAACGTGCCCGAAAGGCAAAAGCTAAGGATGGGCAGATCCACCGCAATAGAACTTTCTCACGGAAATATACTTCGGGAGCTAAATAAGTAAGAAAAAGTTCTGTTATCTGCCTACGCTGCGTATGCCACACTCTGTATCGGTGGAGTCTAGCAGGAAGAAAATAACATGCGAATTAGTTATATATAGATGATATGTAGTAACTGGCACCTGAATCCAAATACCCCATAACTCTTCTACTTTGGCTCCATCCACAATTGCAATTACCTTTTCGTCAACTGGAAATCATCACCACGTTTGTCTATGCACAATGATGACCTCCTGGTTGTCAATTCTCTTGTTATCCCCCTTAGTTGTGGGCCTCGACCTACCCAACTATGAAGGGCTTCTGACCTCACAAAAACCAGGTGTCCTGGAAGTCACGTTTCATAACAGACATTCAACAACAAACCTTTGGAACAGAGATACTCTATTCGGCCTGACCGACATAGTGCGCAGACTCCAGAATGACAATGAAACCAAGGCTGTGGTCTTCAAGAGTGATGTTCCCAAGTATTTCCTTAATCATTTGGACCTCCAGATTGAGCCCTTCGGTTAGTATAACTAAGTCGGAGCCTGCAAAGCACTTGCTCCATTTCCTATGAAGTACTTCTGACTGAATCTATTAGATCCCACCGTTGCAAGTCGTACGATTGAACTGTTATACAACATGACAAACCTGCCCCAAGTTACAATTGCTGCAGTCGAAGGGATAGCACGTGGTGCGGGGAACGAGTTCCTTATCTCGCTCGATATACGATTCGCGACCAAGGCCCACACGCTGTTAGGACAACCGGAGGTGGGAATGGGCCTAATGCCAGGCGGCGGAGGTGGTCAATATTTGCCTCGCTTGATTGGACGCGGTCGTGCAATGGAATTTATATTGAGCTCGAAAGATGTTACTGCGGAGGATGCGGAGGAAATGGGTTGGATTAACAGAGCTTTCGATACGTCAACCGAGATGTATGCGCATATCGACAACCTTGTATCGCGCCTGGTCTTATTCCCACTTGGATCTCTTGGAGCTGCCAAGCAGTCTATCAATCGGGCGACAAGACCCCCTCTAGAGGACCTCTTGATGGATGCCGCAAGTTTCTTGGAACGTCTCGCTAACCCGGCTGCGCAGACTACCATTGCCCGAGCGTTGACCGCAACCAGGAACCAGTCAGATAGCTACGGGGAGCAGTTTCTTGGGGAGGCTATTCCCACCTTCTACAATTAACCTACCGTGTAGCTAGTTATGCTCCTCAAGTGCTGGCAAACTGTTTTTGATTGGTCTCTTGCAAGCTGAATAAAGTCGTTAAAAGCATACTTTGTCAAATTCCCTCCTATTTTGTTGGAGAACCTGGAAAGAAGTTTGGAGGGTCAACCGCAGCGGCTTTTCGTCCAATTCCTAAGCAAGATGCTCAAATGGAAGCCGGGGAGAGAGAATCGGCAAGGGAGCTATTGGACGATCCTTGGTTACGGTCACCTTAGACATACATCAATGCTTTGCAGATCCATCGCTTGGATCAATCATGTCTGTGACGGTCTTTCATATTGAAATCATGACAGCATCCAAGGACAATACTTAGGAGCCAGCTGGGTGGTGGCATGGAAGTTCCAGATACTTCAGTATATCGCCGATCAGCACAGGTGCTATACATCCATCATGATGCGGTGACCACCATCCGCTCTACTGAGACAAGAAAGGGAGATTACTTGTTATGTTGTGATCTGGGTATCAGTCTTTTGCTGTGGAGTCCCCTCGCCGCTGGCGTGTGGTATTCTCTCGCACAAATTGGACGATAGACGCTCAAAGCGACAGTAAACGGATAGGATGCTCAAAGGCCTTGTGCGAGGCCAAGAGAATAATCACCGACGAACAAATTGTCAACTGTGGCTCTCGGTTGCAGATAAGAGAGACGTTCCTGTGAACAGCGGCTCTGTCCTGGTGCTTGAAGAAAGGTGCCTATCCTATTACGGGGCCTAAAAGCAGGGAATGGATTGAGTGAAGCAGGTTATGAAAGCAGTCCACTTCCGTTTGACTAGAAGTGACTTACTTGGAAGAGCCATATCAACTCAAAAAGGTGGTCAGTTGTCAAGTATTAATATGTTATACAGGGTTACATAATCCTTTTTCTGGAATAAAAGAAAAGAAAACCAAGCAAACCAATCACAAGGGTTCTAATTTATCAGCACGTGTCAAAGGCAACAGGAGGGGTTCGGTGGGCTGATCGGGAGATTTGGCTTGGCATAATGGCGGTGCACTGTGGCTTGACAAGTTCCTCATTGGACTAAGCGAGTCAGGACCGTCTTCACTATTGGTTTAAGTCATTTTGTGTCTCTCGAGTGGCTGTGCATTTCGTAATTTAGCTTGAGATGGTGCCAATCAGTGGGACAAATAGTCAGAAAGAGGGGTAAAACTTACAGCCGATTGTGGCTGTGTGGACAGGGCTAAAATACGAGCTGAGCACAGGCTAGATAACTCTAAAATATTACGTGGTGAGGGTGAGGGGATATAAGGCTTGACGCGTGCTCCCTTTGATAAGTCTCAATTGTCGTTCCCTTTTCCCTATCACGTTTCTGTCATGTCGCACCCCCAGCATACCTACGGCGGACCCCCGCAACCCCCCTATAACAGCGCTGGGTATGCTCAGCCGGGCGCCCATCAGCAGCAGCAGCAGCAGGCCCCCTATTATCCACCACAACAGCCTGGTGGATATCCGCCCCAAGGAGCTCCCCCGCAGCAATATCCTCCCCCTGGTCAGTACCAACAACAGCCATATGGTGCGCCTCCGCCGCAACAACAATGGACAGGCCAACCACCGCAACAATATCCTCAAGGAGGCCATCCACCACCGCAGCAGTATCCGCCTCAGGGAGCGTATCCTCAGAATCAATACCCTCCACAGGGTCAATACCCTCCCCAAAGCCAGTACCCTCCACAGAGCCAATATCCTCCACATGGGCAGTACCCCCCACCCGGCCAAGGCCAGTATCCTCCGCAGGGAGGTTACCCGCCGCAAGGCCAACCCGGCTATCCACCCCCTCAGGCGCCTCAACCAATGCCCACTCCGCCATCCCTAGGCTATGACCCCAACCAACGCGCCCCCGGCGACGCAACCCGCGAAGCAGAAGCCCTCCGCAAAGCAATGAAAGGCTTCGGCACGGACGAAAAAGCCCTCATCAATATCCTGACCAAGCCGGACCCCCTGCAAATGGCGCTCATCAGACACACCTACGCCGATCGCATCGGGCGCAATCTCGAAAAAGACCTCAAGTCCGAGCTCTCGGGAGACCTGGAAGATGTTCTCCTCTCCTTGGCCAGAGGTCCACTCGAGCAGGATGTCGCTACCGTGCATGATGCGTTGTCAGGGATAGGAACGAACGAAAACCTCCTCACGGATGTGCTGGTCGGCCGGTCAAATGCCGACCTGCGTGCGATCAAGTACGCGTATGTCGGCAAGTACCAGAAGTCGCTGGTTGAGGAAATCAAGAGCGATTTGTCCGGCAAGACGGAACAGTTCTTTGTCATGTTGCTGAATGCCACAAGGCCGGAGCCGGGGACGTATTTCGATGCGCAGTCTGTTGACGCCGATGTTCGCGAGATCCACCAGGCGACGCAGGCGCGCAAGGGGACAGATGAGACTGGTGTCTTTGCCGTACTTTTGGGTGCCTCGGATGCGAAGCTCGTCGCAATCGCGCAGGCTTTTGAGACAAAGTATCATACTAGCCTCGAGAAGGTGATCAAGGCTGAGTTCTCGGGCCACCTGGAAGATGCGTTACTGTCGATGCTGTCTAAGGCGAAGGATCCTGTTGGTCATGACGTGGAGAAGCTCCTGAAGTGTTTGCCTGCTGTTGAGAACGGAAAAGCAGATGTCAAGCGGTTGATCTACTGGGTTGTCCATCTGCATTGGAACCCACCTCATTTTGCGGCGGTCAAGGCGCGGCTGAAGCAGAAGCTGGGCCATGATGTTGGCAACCAGTTCAGAGGAGCCATTGCCCCAGGAGACTTTCTTACTGCTATGCGCCAGCTGTGGAATTCGGCCTAAGATGATTATTATGAATAGGGTCTGGGCAAATTAGGTATTGCTATTCTTAATGTCTATTCTTCTTTCTGCAGACCCTCGAGATTATGGACATGGGATTCAGCTTATCAATACTATGGGAGGAATTGTATTTTCAGAAGCCGTTTTTGCGTTACTGACAATTATTTTACACATGCTTCTCCTTGGATGGTTATTTAGGACTTGGATCTTGTAGGAAGAATCTACATTGCTGTCTTCATTATTCGGCGACAGCGCTTTAATTGATCTTCTAAATCTTATCAATATCATGTATTGGTTCAGGTCACCTCACCTTTTGTGTGACTACAGGTCAGCCAACCTTTAAGAAAATTACACAATTCCATAACACTTTTGGACATTTTACCGACCTTTTACATTCTAAAATAGATAGAAAGATAATTAAACTCCAAAAGACAGAGCCAGTTATTAACACATTTTAAGCAATTAGATACCCCTTGGCCCTTAGATAGTATTAAAAACTCATAAGGTATTATATTTGGCTTGGCCGACCTTTATGAAAATTTCATAGTCATATAATGTG